GCAGACTAAATTTTCATCTCATACGAGAATCTCTAGCCTCGAACTCTCGTGAACCCTCGGCCCTTAATCCTCCCGGAACGATGTGCCGTAAAACACTGTAAACGTTAGGTAAGAGAGATTGGAAGGGCAGAAGAGGGGGAATTCGTCGCGAATTTCACCATCGACCATCAACGGCTGCCAATAACGTATATACGATGGTGTATAGAGGTATGGAGGGCACACGGAAGGGCGTGGTACTTTACTGCCTGCAGGGACGGCCTTACACCACTATGCACCCTTGTCAAATTTAACTATGAGAAGATATAAATATATCCGAGGGTTGACACGAGGAATGGATGAAAGTGGGAACAGTTGTGACAAAGAATTGCCCGGGTCTTTATTCGTTTCAAGGTCGAAAATTCGGTGAGGGGGAGGGGGGGAGGATAGTCTCGTGGGGAGTATAATTGGGGTCTACATGAGGGCATGTGGGTTCTACACGACTATCATTCGGTGGTCTTAGACAATTGACTGTATGACCTTGAGTTTAAATAATCCTTCAGGACAATTTTTAATTTATGAACGAGTATTTATCATTTTTTAGTACTAAATCTGAAATAAAAAATGCTGCATTCATAGTTTTTTATATTGTTCAAAAAAGTATAAATTAAAACAAGTGGGAAATTGCTCTCGTGTTGCATAGTATTAGTTATTTTTGCTAAAGAATTAGCAATATGCTTCCAAACGGTTATTTTGCACATCATTTCCTTCTACCATGTGTAATTCATTGTTTATTTTATTTTATTAAATTGAATAAGATTTCTTTTCAACTAATTTTGTTAGATTTTCAACTCAGTTAAATGTTATCATGATCATTATTCTTATTATCACTTTCTTCTATACAACCGATTGTCTTTTTTACAGTCCTATCTCTCCTCTCAGCCCTTCGATAAAAAGTTAATATTCAAAGATATCCCCGGGATTCTGATTTTCAAAAAATACAAAATTTAAATTTGAACGATTACAAAGCTTCCATTAGGAAGCGAAAAATCCCAATCCTTATCAATATAATAATAATAATAATAATAATAATAATAATAATAATAATAATAATAATAATAATAATAATAATAATCGTTGAGGACAATTTTAATTCACTAACGAAAATTCGCACTTTTTAGTGCAAAATATGAAATAAAAAATCTTGCATTCAGATTTTTATATTGTTCAGAAAAATATATACGACAGAACCATAAAACGATCATGTTCTCCCTTTCATCTCTCCCCAGCCTCGCTGGCGGCTCTGGGAGCATGTCCAGACTCCTCGGAATCATTGTTCCCTCTAGGTACCCCGAGCTGAAAGAAAAAGCCTCGATCCTTCCCCAAATCTTCTTAAAAAACTCATCGCGCAGACTTGATCGATCAGTTATAATGAAAACCGATAAAAAAACGAACGGAAGCGTTCAAGAGGGGGAAAAAGTTCATATTTCACCGCAAGAGACTGACTTCTTTCCTTCCGGCAATTGCGCAAGGAGTATGAACGCATAAGGAGAAGGGTTGACAAGTGGGCAATGCAGTGGCGGGCGTATGTGCAATGCGGCGCTGCATAATGACTCAACAATGGGCGTGGTGTGGAATAACTGACCTCGCCTCGTCCCAATACCGCCTTCACCTTCACTGGGCCGTTTTGTATTATTTGTTCGGGAAAGATGTAATGACTGCACGTAAGTAAATACTCTCTATTGGGGGGGGGGGGGGGTAGATGTTGAAGAAGATAGAGAATAGGATATTGTGCACGGAGGGTGGGGAGCTGGACATAAAAACCCGCGTGTTTACGGGCCATCCAGACGCGAGTTAACATGTCCTGTTTTGCTTCCTAGGTGCACATAATATTTTTCGTCATAACTGCACGGTATAGTTCGATTTTTCTTAGTAAATGAAAAGGGAGGAACGTGTTATGTCATCCCAAGGATCGTCGAAAACCACAGGAATCCGGGGAAAAAAATGAGCTTTTCTTCCGTCGTTTTGCGGGGAAAATCGAACTTTCCGTGCAGATGTGACGAAAAAAAGAGTATTAATTATCAGTGACATGTCACTGATTTTAAGGAATCTTTCACCAACGATCGGTGATAGTGAATACAGATTAGAATGCCCCTGATTATCAGTGATTTTTATTACTGATATTTGGTGGTAAATTCCTGCAAATCAGCGAAGCGATAAAACGACTTGACTCTTAGCTTGTCGAAGAATATCTCGAAATCTAAGGGAGATAGCGAAATTTTTATAATAACTTCTTTTGTGGCTCTTAAGTCGCTCTACAAAAAAGGTTATTATAAAAATTTCCCTATTTGCCTTAGATTCCGAGATATTCAGTAAAAACTGACCAATAGTCAAAATCGACTTGAACGTCACTAAAAATTGGGTACAAAGACACTGAATTTTAGAATTTTGCAGTCAACGAATTTCAAAATCGCGAATCCCTGAAAGTTAGTGACATGATCCTGAAACTTTTTTTTCTCTGTGAAGATCTTGGGGTGCAGTTGCTCTGCATTAGGGTCTGGGAGTACCGACTAATTGTCCCATATTTTGGAATAATTTATCGACATCAATTCCTGCAACCTCTGCATTTGTTGATTTATACCGTTTAGGGAGGGGTGAAGAACATTTAGAGGGCCTCACAATCCCATTCCTCCTCCACCCGCTCACCTACGGGACTTGTACGAATTGGCAGACGGCAGTCTGGCTGTCTCGTTGCTCGGCAACGCGCCACTGGCCACCGTCGATGATAGGGTGAAATTCAGGAATGGGTTTAAGTGAATTTCGCAACGGAAAAAAGACGAAAAAATGTTATTCCATCGATGTCCTCTTTCTGGAGTTGCTCCAGAGGAATTGAGATGTCTTAGATGTGAGGTTTATGGATTTGAGGATTTATGAATTTTGTCTAGTGTTGGGAGGGTGTAATTAAAGGGAATGGGGCAGTAAATAAAAATTATGTCTGGATTGATGACTTTCCGGGGGGAAATGACCGTCTACTCGCACCTGAAATAATTGAACTTACCGAAGTTATTGAAATTAAATGATTTCAACACTCCAACGTCATCTCTGGGATTAGCGATTTTGAATTCGCATGAAATCCTTATTGTTATCTCCTACTGTCATTTTCAGAAACCCCTTATTTTCGCGAATTATTAGAGGAGATTGGAGAAAAATGGAACATTTTTCAAACAGTTTCAAACAGTTTTTACAATTTGAAATGACTCGTTTCTCCCCACGTCTCTTATTTATCAAACCCTATTGATCGTGATTTTGATCACTTTAATCTCTCTGAAATTATTGATTTCGAATTAATGAAATTATTCGAAGTGAACTGCAGTCTAACTGAAGTGAAATCATGTCGTGTGATCATTGAAGTAACTGAAATTTTATCTTACCGAAATCACTAAAGTCAACGCTGTAATCAGTATGTCGTAGCTCCCCGTGAATAAATTTCATTTATATCGCGAGAGATCAATTGCCGCGGAATTTCTAAATTGTTGGAGTTATCCTATTTTTTTTATGACTCATCTGAAGAGTAGTTTGAGGAATTTGAAAAAGACGAGTGCATCACATCCCTCGGATGCAGGTTTATTTTTATTTTTTTTTCATTCTTCAACTATCAAACGCATACCTTTTGAGTGCACGCATTCACCGTGAAGGGAAACGAAGAACGCCCACGAGAATGTCGTTAATGTACCTGCTGAGTCAGGCTGGATAGTCTCCTTACATTTGAATCTGTTATTATTCAATTATGTAAAAAAATTAGTATTCCCTTCTCTCTTATTTTTTAACTAGACTCTGAGCATGATAAAACCCGAGGTATGGGTGAATATGAAGCGTCTTGGATGCGTGGTTTAGTGTCAAACTAATTGAGGGGGGATAATAATTTATTCAGTTATAAAGTTTAAAGGCTGGCCAGTGAGAAATGTTAAAAATTTAATGCACAATGAAATTCCAGTGTTGAGCGATTTCCTTTCCCTTTCTTTCTTCACTCCCCTTTGGATACGGACACTTTCTTAATGCGCTTTGGGATGAGTCACTGATGACTCAAGGCATAGGAACCTCAATCGTTTCCTGAGAGGAACATTGCGAAATTTTTGAACCACAGATTAATTGACTCAATTAAGCTTTTTCTCGTCTACTCTTACGAAAGAATTCGTGTGAACGCGTTTGAAATTTCTCATCTATCTTGGGAATTTTAGTGAATTGAGGTTTTTATGTTGAAGAATCATTGATATTTCAATGAAAGCTGTGATTTTCAAGCTCATTGTGAAAAATAAACATTAAAACGATTGGAAATATTCGAATTTCCAGTAGATTGAAAATTGGGAAACATTGTTACCTGAATTTATAGTTAACTATTGGCATGTGTACCTGGAGAAAATGAAAATCATGAGGTATAACTGAGGAAATTGATAAATAAATTGAGTGTTGACAATATCAAGATTTTTTTACTGGAAATCCCAGTGGAACCTTGCGATTATGTTGAAATTTATTAGGTTTTGCAGATTTATATTGGAAATTATGCAATTATCCTGTGCAATTTTTGAGTACATTTGCCACGAAAATATTCAATTGGTTTATCTTCTTCTATAAAATTATTCTGTTGCGATTGTTTCTATGGAAATTCTTCAATTCAAATTTTTATTTGTTCTTCGTGATTTTGTAATTAGAATGAAATAAATATAGCAGAACAAAATGGAAAATTTATGTCCAGAAAATCCTACACGAAGAACCTAAAGAGAGTCATAGAAAAATTAGACAGTCATAATTTTATTCTATAAAACACCCCTCAAAAAAATTGTGCAAATAAACTGAGTAGAGAGTCAATTGAATTTCTCAGTGAGAATGTTCAATTTTTTAAATTCAATTTCCAACATATGCGTGCAGGAAAAAATTCAAAAACCCAATTACTCACTCGATCTTTGCGAAAAAAATCCTAGCAATCGATGAATCAATGGATAGTATAATGGTAATAACGTAACAAATTTATTAGATGAATTGCATGTATTACGAATTCGAGAGATGTATAGTTACAACATGAGTCATCGTGAAAACGACTTGTAATCAAATGCACTGTCAGACATGTATCTATAATAATATTTAAAACAGACACACCCCAAACTTCATCAAGTTTTCATGATCAATTTACAGAAAACAAAAATTCGTTACATTTTTCCTATTTTCATTATAATACAACGACAGTCTCACTCCGTTAACCTCGATTCTCATCACCTATCTTGTCTCATTTTCATTGATTCGTATAAAGTCCATCAATGCCACCAAATGAGAATGCGACAATTCATGTCATGAAAAGTTGTATAAAAAAACTGGGGAAAGGGGATTGATCATTGCTTTATAAAATATACCTAACGTTTCGATAGGTAGGAATTCTGCGTCCGTGATTAAAATCAATGTAAAAAGCAGGTCTGGTCGAGCGAACATCGAGTCTGACCGGGAAAATTGCACTTGGGAGAAAGATAATTTGAAGGATTTAATTTCCGGCAACATTAATGGACCCTTCTCCACATTAACTGTTCCTCAGATCGACGTGTTTTAGAAAAAAGGCATAACTCGGGGAGAGGATTCGAAGGGGTCTATCCCAGAAGCTTAATTTAAATAGATCCAACTCAATGTTGTGGTTTAAAAAAGGTCTATGGTCTAAATACGTTTTAAGTGATCATACTTTGTTATGTATTGCAGGAATTCCTGCAGTTCCAATGAATTCATTGATATCTCTGTTTATATAAGAGTGATCGTGAAATATTTCACAGTCTGCACTTACACTCTTGACTTCATTGTATGATCAAGTTTGAGAGCCTTGAATGTCAAATTTGAGGTAAAAACAAAATAAATAGGGAGGCATCTAAAAAATTAATTGTGAACATTGTATTAATTGCGCCTTTGTCCGAGTTCCAGAAGGAAATAAATAAATGAAATAGTATTTTCCAGTTGAAATTTACAAAGGAATAACTCAGACGAATCCTTACTAAATACTTTCAAAAGATCATACTTGTCTATTGAATGTTAAATTTGAAGTAAAAACAAAATAAATGGGGAGGCAGTTGAGAACTTAATAGTGAACCTTGTGTCAATTGCGCCTTTGTCCGAGCCCCAGAAGAGTTTACCCGACTTACGTCCTTCTAAGTTCCAGCTGAGATAGTGCTTTCTCATGGAAGCCATTGAGTTAGTCCTTTTCAAACCCCAACATCGAGCTGACTTCATTCAAATCCCAAACCTGCGATACCCCCTCTTGAATAATTTCCCCGAGTTACCCCCTTTCATCCAGAGCACATCGAATAATGTCGTTCTTTCCATCACATCCATCAGCGAAACAACCGCGCGAAAGTTCGCAGTGCATGCATGACAGCTTTGGGCGCTACTTTCGGCGCCAAAACAGCATTATGGAATTCCGCCACCTGTTCGGGAGTCGCTGTGGGCGAGCCTCCAACATTCTGAACAGGCATAGCTGAGATAGCTTCAAAAAGCCAAGTAGCCATTGACGTTGAATCAGTGAGAGTGAGTTCAGCAAGAACATCGGCAACATCTTGCAGCATGTACGTTGACAATTGAAAGACAGCAGCATGAAGAAGACTAGTCACCAGCCTCTGGCCCTTATTCCTCAGCACATCCTGCACCATCTGCCTCCTTATCGTAAAGTCCGACCTCTCATCGTGATTGCGTCCACTGTGCAGAAAATCATAGAAGAACTTCATGACTGAGGCATTGGCATCTCTGTGATCCAGACTGCACGCCATAATAGCGCAATCAACGATGCTGCTCAGTGCAGCAGAATGCAGGAATGCGATGGGTGCCCTCTGGAGAAACCTCGCACACAATCGAAAGAGATCGTCAACGGTGTCGGGATGATTCTTGAGGCCATCAGTCTCCTGGAGAATAGTGAAAGTGGGCCCGATGAAGGCCTCCAACATCCTGACAAGTCCAGCAGCGCAGTCATGATCACCAGCGTACTCGTCCACAAGAATTGAGCCAAGATACAAAAAACAACTGTGCTGATGTGCCCCATACAACTGCACAATCTGCTCGACAATGGGTTCAAGCAGATGAACAGCGTGCTGTCCAATGCACCTCACAGCGTACCTCAGACATCTGCAGCACCTCTCCATAACCCTCGAGTCCTCCTGATACTTATTACACACATTCGACAGAACAGGCCACATTTCAGTTATGACACTCTGGCAGGGATGTGCCTCATTGGAATTATCAATCTGCGGATTGGTATGCCTGAAAATGGCAGCCAGTCTGTCCAACCAGTAAACAGGATCGGTTTTGGTCCCTCGATCCAGGGGAATCCCCTGGGCCTCCATCAATTCACAGAGTGGTCTTGCTTGAATCCAGCAGAGTTCCTTCATAGCAGGAGCTATTTCGTTTCTTGGTAATCTGGCTGAGATTATTGAGACCCCCTTTATCAATCCAATTGCAGCTTCACTGCTGATGGGAAAGCTGTCGAGGGATCTTGCGATCTGCAGCAATCCGGGAAAATGCGATGCCATGTGCAGGGGACAAGCTGTGCAAATGCTGTGTAGAGCACCGGATGCTGCACTGGCAAGACCCCTCTGATTCAAACAGGTGAGGAGGAAATTTAGGACTGGCTCTAGGGACTGGGGATGACTGTTTATCCATTCGCAGAGTTCACCGAGGAGGAGAATACTCGTGTGTTTAACCGCAATGTGGGTATTTTCGGGGACATTGAGTATGGCTTCAACGACTTTGGGGACAACGTCGTTCTCCTCGGGGAGAATGTTCTTGGCGACAGCTTGCATTATGTATAGGGCGGCCTCGGTTGAGTCCCAGGTGGGGGGCCTCGACTGCTCTTGGCTGTTGTTGCACGTTAGGGTTGAGAACATCTGGCGGAAGCAGTGGCTGCTACCCACGAGGAATACAACGTCTTTTACGAGTTCAGAGACACGAGTTCGAAAGTCAGCGAAGTCCTCACCACCACTGCCCTCTTCTACTAGGCCCAGGTGGTCTGGCTCCATCTGACAGTGCTTGCAGAGGGCAGCTATCAGTCTCTCTATGTACGGTCTGAACATTGTGTTCAGGTGGTCATTGTTTTTACGGTAGAGCACTTCTGATAGTCGGTACCAGAGGTTGAAGGTTATCTGGGCGACTTCGTAGTCGTGGTGTCCGACACACATGAGGACTAGATTGAGTATTCTAATGGCGTAGTGCTGGGTACCGTCCATGCTACCCAGAACCATTCGGTCTAGGAAGGTCTCCGCTAGCTCGGTGAAGATTCGACAGTAGTTTATGGATTTTTCCATCTCCTCGTGGGCCACTGAGAGGTGGTAGGGCTGCTCCAAGGACATCACGCTGGTGAAGAGGCCCAGTTGGAGCTGCTGGAGGTGGGCGTTGTGCTCGCTGCTCGTGCGCTCGTAGTCCTCTTCGAGGATTTGGAGGATCACGCAGAGGCAGTCGGTTGCTGCTTCGTGGAGCTGGGAACTCGATAGGTGATTCCTCAAGACCTGGGGAAGTGGTGGGTTTAATTGGCGGGTGGTCAGTTGAGGGGGGGGGGAGGGGGACTTTGCTTACCTCGAAAGCGTAGGTCGCTACTTCACCGTTTGGTATCGTTTCTAAAGACATGGCGTGGACCTTCACCCAGCTCGTTAAACATCTTAGTATTCTTATATGAATTTGTACATTATCACCTCCGTTTTGGAGACACGCTTTCTGAAATTGGAATTTTAGTCGTTGATGAGAAGTTTTCGCTTTATCGGTGGGGCCTTCCACCAATATATTTCCATTTATTTAAAAAGTTTTGACTAATTGCCATCTCTTCAGAAAAAAAATGAGATCAAAATCCCCAGCATCGATTTTTTTAACCTGGTGATTTGGCGCTCACACATAGAACTCGTATTGAGTCTTATCACTCCAAATTAACTTACCAGGAATTCAGTTACTGTATCAGCACAAGATGACAGTTCAACAAAAACATTGTGCCTCCTATTAGCTCCTAATCTGGGGAATAACATGACGAAATGAGTTTTACAATTTTTCACAAATCGTCCTAGAAGAAAAATGCAAAAGTGTCTATCTCAGAATTTCAAATGCGAAGTATAAGCAAAATACTTGGGTCATGCCTTCTTTTAATTGCAACTGTGATGGTGCTTTCTTATTATTATTATTTTGCTTTTCATTTGTCTTGGGGTAACAAAAACCCCCTAAGGACAACCCGAAAATTAATACAAGATTTATTCAACCTAGAAGAAATGCAAAATGTATATTCATTAAGTTGAACAATTTGAGTAAAAAAGCGTTAAGACGACATCATTTATATTAAATTACTACTAGCACCGTAATTTTTATTTGGGAAAAGTAGAGAAATATTAGGATATCGCTCAAGAGATTACATTTTTGGTAAGGACTGGTCTTAGATCATAGATTTCTGCATGGAATCTATGTAAAAAATTCCAGTACTAGCAGGGGAAAAAGGGCGTAAAGTGACGGCCAGGAAAAAATTTTAGTGCTGGCACTGGAAATTTGACTGAGTAGCACGTGAATTTTTCCCGTTTTTATATGAAATTTTCACAGAAATTCCTGGAAATTTGATCAGAAATGCCTAGAAATTGTACCTTAACAGCACTAGAATTTTTCATAGCCAGTCGATTGCGTTTTTTTTTCCAGTAACAGCACTAGAATTTTTCTAAAGAATTTCTTTTCGTGTAGATTTCTGGTAGAAATCTATGACAGAATTTATGTAAAAATCTATGATAGAGGTACTGAGTTAGTCCTTTTTGAAATAACAACATCGAGTTGTATCTGAGTTAGAATCCTGAGGTATACCTCTTTGAATAATTTCTCGGGTTATCCCTTTTTATCTAAGACACGTTGCAATGCAATAATCAATTGGCTTACCTGTTCGATCTGGATATAGCCTCTTCAGGAAGTACCGTCATGATTTCTAGTAACGGCCAAAGACTACTGGTATTGCTACCGAATCTATTAATTACATCCACTATTGGTTTGTGCCAGGAGGGCATTTTTAACGCTAGATCGGCCAGTGCAACACACAGTTGTGTCACAATAATGCTGTTCGTATGCTCGTTGATCTGCGATATGTGATTCAGTAAGGAATCACGGAGGGATGTGTGTGATTCGGTGGGCAATTCGTGAAAGGATAATTGAATTTTCGTACGCATTGTTTGGGCTGCGAAGTAGCAGGACTCCAAGTCCCGCTTCTGCTGCAGCATTTCGTCCGATATTTTCCATGCATAAACCTAAAATTGAAAGATTATAAATAATAGATAGAATGGACTTGCTCTAGACTGATGAAACGTTCTCAACACGTGTTTGTGTGAGGATTGTTTAATAATAACAAATCAGGTTATGGAGGGTATTTTGGAGAGGTTATGGACAAGATATTTCAATTTCATTCGTCCCAAGTACGAATATGTATGACTGAGAAGCTTTCTATTGGGCTTCGAACGAGACCGAGTGAATAGGAACAACAGCTAATACTCGTTTATGTTATTAAATTATTGTAAATGAGAATAAACTCATTTTACTCACAGATTTTTGCAATTCTCCCAGCCACAACGACGCTTTTTCCTTCTCCGTTGGATCTGGATTATTGTACAACGAGTAAACGGCCTGATAGACCGTATCCAGTTCTGGAGGTGCATTCATACTTTAGTAAAGTATTTGTTATTGGGTTTAAATTTAATATCCATACAGTTGATTTTTATGTATTTAGCGGAACACACTTGCACTGTGACAATCGGGGGAACAGTTGGCCGATAGCAACTGCGCTATAAGTTGGGCGAATGGCCATTGGCCATCATTTCTGAAACGGAGTACCGGCATTTTAAGAGGAATCAATGTAACGTCAGCTGTTAATGCAGAGCTCTGTCGAGAACGCGCGAGTTTTTGTATGCACTGGGAAAAAACATTATTTTTGCCAAATATCCATTTACTTGAAAGAATTATTTGTTTTTAAAATACCATATTCTCCTATCGAGTCATGTCCAGGCAATTCTCTTTAGGTTTCAANACGCCTTTTTTTCAGAGGTGATTTTTCAAAAATTTATTTTAAAAAAAGTACTAACTAGCAAATGTTTTTTATTAGCTCGCAATTTTCTTCAAAACTACTTCAATGAGGAAAAAAATAAAAATTTGGAATATCTATACATGAGGGGCTAATTGATCGGATCTTATCCCATGCTCCAAAAATAGTTCTAAGCAACAATGCCCCTGCTATTGATATTGCAATTGCTGTCTGCACCCTATTATGGCGGACACAAGTGACACATTTAGTTCTTGGTTAACCGATAAATTAAAGTCACTGAATACCGATGAAGTTGTGTACGGAAATTACATAAGAGCTATACTAGATGGTAATGAAACGGAGGATGAAAAATCAGAGGCACTCGAGGGTGTTATTGCGGGGATAACGGTGAGGACCGTGAGGATTGTGAGGTTAGATTGCAATCGGCGTTAAGTTGACGATGAGTTTGGCAATGAGCATTAATTATGGGACGAAATTAAAATCCTAGACATGATGATAACAAAAAAATCATGAATTCAGGTGATTTTCCGAGGATCATTCTGTGAGTTTGGCCTTTTGTTTTGTTGTTTCTAGGAGGAAAACATCAGTGAACATGTGGCGAGTATACTTGTTGCCTACAAGAAATTATTCCCGAAGGAGACGGTGGCTGAGGCACTTGAGCCTGCTGAGGAGGTTGAGGTGAGACTAGCCAGGTTGATGGAGTCTCAGAGCCTGCCCACGACGACCCAGCGGAGTTACACGGCTGAGGAACTGAGAATTCGAGAGGCCATTCTCTCCCAGTATTCCCAGATGTCGGACGGCGAGGAGGAGGAGGGCGATGGGGACGAGGATGGCGTTGCCTGTGCCAAGCCTGAATGTGGAATTGAGAAGAATACCAATGCTGCTAATATTCTACAGCAGCAGAGGGAGATGAGGGAGAGGGCCAAGCTCGATAGTCAGAAGAAGAAGGAGAAGGATAAGGAGGATCGGTGAGTTCTTCATGATTGCGTAGAACGAATGGATAAATTTTCAGAGCAGTTTTGTTCATATTTGTCTTCAAGTGTCTCGATCGTCCTGAAGTTTTTGAGATATTATAGAATGGAGTAGGGGAGATTGGGGTTAAATAAACACTTTTGACTTTTTTTGAAATATTAGTGACGGGTTGAATGTTGATGAAATTTAATCATTTTTCATTTCAATGCAAAGAGCAATTCTTTCCCTTTGTGATGAGCCTAAACTGAGCTCTATTGATACATTTGTTTCTGAGTTATGAATAATTTTAAAAAAGTCTAAAGTGTCTATTTTACCCTACCCTATATATTCATTCACACAGAACATGCAAAATTTCCGACGAACATTTCCCTGAATTTACCCAAATACATTAAAACATTAAAACCTGTAATTCCAATTTAAGAATATCCAGGCTTTTATTTGAGCCCCATTTGACCCCAAGTTTCCGCACGTTTTATACTGTTTTTGCTATTTAAAGTTTGCAGATGTGAATTTAAATCTCGATATTGAACTGTTTGAAGTTTGCGAGAACATAAAATAAATAAATAAATAGGGAGGGAGCAAAAACACCTACAAAAATTAGTTTTATTTTGAGCCTTGTGATCTCAAATTAAGTTCTCAGTCTCAAATTGAGACTTTTGAAAAACTTATTTTAAGGCCATTGAATTCTTGAAACAAGGTATTATTTTTTATGGGTGAAAGTTAATTGTGGACAGCTGCTGAAGTTTACCTAAGTTAATCTTTTTTGAATCACAACACTGGGTTGAATCCACTTCAATTAGAATTTTAAGATATATTTTTGAATCACTCCCCCCGAATTATGCCTTTCCTTCTAGAAGACGTCGACACGATGTCGCGTAAATGCAATGTAAGGATTACAATTTCTGTAGACAAGGTCTTAATGCAAAACCTGAGATGTTCAACAAATTAAGGGACTCCATTGTATGTAATAAGCCATTTTCTCGACAAAGCGCTGCGTCACTGCTGAAGCATGCCGTTATAGTTCAAAATAGATGCCGATGACCTAATTAATTTGTTGCAGGGAGAAACAAAAACAAATGAAGGAGGAGAAGAAAGAGAAGCGTAAGACAACAAAGGGTGAGCGTCGAAGGTAGCATGATGACAAATGAAGTGAATTTCATAATTCAATTTGCAAACTCACCTCTAGACACCTAATAAATTCCTCCAAAAGTCATGAAGATAACTTATTTGAACTGCATGTCATTTGAAATCCAAAGCATAGACGTTTATAGACTCAGCCACAATTGTATATTCCGCATTTATTTGTTTTTAATAAAAATAACACTGTCTGTCTTGCGAAGAGCCAGATAACAAGTAAATCCAATGGTTGTACCCTGTATTTTATCCTAAAACATCATTTGTTGAATTATTTATTTATCAGACTTATGACCAATGGACCAATATCTTTCTTATAACACTGACTGTTCATGTCAGACTGTTTGAAAATGATCAGATAATCATCGAATCCTACACTTCTGCAAACAGATTGAATATTGTTAGCCCCAATACCGGTTAATTCTCAGTTTTCAGATAAACTTACAGAATTTGAATGAAATATAACTAAATTAGGAGAACAAATATTTCAAATTCTTCAGCAGTGTAGGTATAGTTTAAATTAATATTGAAACACAAACGAAGAAATTGGATAGAAGCTAGCGCATTCGATAGAAAATTCTATTGGATTTCTACAGAACTTCTTTTGAAAATTCTAGTCATTTTTAGTTAATTTTATTGCAGAAATCCGCAGTTCTACTGGGCGTTTTTCAGATAGAAATTTCTAATGAGATTTCTTCATTTTTTTCCACTCTATTTTCCTTCTTTTTCATTGAAAAAAATCCAACAAAAAAACTTTGAAAACAAAAATTTGAGTCGAGGAATTTCTACGCAAAATATCTCAGTGGAATAAGTTGTATAGAAAAATTCATATCTATCGATTTTTTATATACAATATTTTTCATTGAACATTTCTATTGAAAAAAATGCGCACATGAGTTGCAGAATTTTTCAATGGCATCGGTTAAAAGTTGAAAGAACTTTAAAGTAGCTCTATCTTTAGGAGATTATTTTCCAATTAGAAGATTTTTAAAAAGTGTAAACAATCACCCGAAAACCTCATGATATTCGGCATTGCAATTTTTTTCACCGTTTAATTTCCGTTTCTGTTTTTATGAATAAAAATGTTCAAAAACGATACTTAACTCAGGGTCTTCTGCGAAAATCGCCAAATGTTGCATATCTTCTTTCAAATAAAAAGATTAAAATATGATTTTTATACTAAGAATGTGGAAAGAATAATGAAAAATATTGACACTTGTTTAGTCACGATTTATTGTTTCTTTTTTTTATTATTATTAACAATATTCGTCCAGTATGGCCGAGGACTGGGAACAGAAATAAACGTGACAACAATGGCCATGGTTATGGCGCTAATTCCACCCGTCTCCCACCTCTCATGATAGTACAGTGTTGCCACAAATTCTCAAACTAGTCAATTGAAAAACTGTTCATTCATACTTCTAATTAAAACATTTAAAGAATGAGACAACTTTTAGTCTTTCATTAACTCTCTAATTCATTTCAATAATTTAGACATAAAAACAATAATTAAAATTTTCTTTGTCAGAACACTCAATGACTCGAGCCGTAAGGGTAGAGCTACTTAAGGATAATCGGGCGAGGAGTAGGATATTCAAACAATGCAGCCAATTTTATGTAGATGTTTCCACACATTTTTGAATTTATTTAGACGCTGTTTGCAAAATTTGGGAAACCCCAGAAGCAGGGCAACAACAAAAATGATGTTTAAAGTTGCTGCTTATACATGAGGTTAAATGGGTCATCGATAATTTCAGTATTTTTTCCACATTGCCGACTGGTCGATAATGTAGGGGAAATGCACGCGTTAACGATACTCCCTTTAACCTCATGTATAAGCAGCAACGTTAACTCTCGATCGCTCGCTCAATGAGCGCGGCGCCGCCCGTTTTCGTTTTTTATATTTTAGCGTGTTTCTCGACGCTTAAAAATTCTGAAAAAATTGGAGTTTCTAGTTCAATCCTTCAATTAAGCGTTGGCGTTGTCCGTTTTTTCTCGAGAAATTTGTTTAGCTAAAAAAAGACAAGAAACGTCGAACGGGCAGAAACGCGGCGCCGCGCCGTCTAGTCCGGTGCGATGAATCCCCGTCGACCCCGCGAACGACAGTGTTGCTACATTCATTGCCATACTTGAAATGCGCGCATAACGGTACGCGCCAAGATGGCAACAACGCGCTCGGTTTAACCCGGCGCGGTGCTGCGCTACACGGAGAGAAATATTCAATAAAGATTACGTATCGTTTCCGTAATTCCGCAGCGAAATGTGGTTGTAGGAAATTTTACGAAAATGTCACGTAATTTTTATCTATTAAAATCACGAAATTTTTCCAGAGCGTTCCCTAATTTTTACATGAAATTACGATACTGTCACATTTTCTGAGTTGATTTCGTAATCAGTGAGCGAACTGTAAGTTCCGTAATTTCTATTGAACATTTCTCTCCGTGTAACCGTGCGACGGATGAAGTCTGGCGGCCGAGCGCGAGTGATCGAGGGTTAAAAATCATTTTTGTTGTTGCCCTGCTTCTGGGGTTTCTCAAATTTTGCAAACGGTGTCTAAATGAATTTATAATATGTGATAAAATCGTCATAAAATTGGCAGCATTTTTTTAATATCCTACGCCTCACCCGATTATCCTAAAAAATTTTGGTACATGAATATTACAGTCTTGATTACACCACGAGATTAATTTCTTCGTTGTCATAGTTATCGTGGCCAATAATGAAGGGCCAGTTCCTCCTTGATATTCTTGCTAGTTCGCCACGCAACAAATTGAGTAGATCATCGAGATAACGGAGTTCGTTCATATCGCGGTGGAATCTCGAAGTTTCGTTTTGTAAATTGTCGAGTTTTCGTTCTTCACACTGGAAGTCTATCCGAAGGAGTCCGATGTCTCTGTACATGCATCTACTGTTCTCTTGGAGTTGGTCGACCCTCTCCCGGAGCTCGTCAAGCTCTTCCGCGGTGGTTCTGTCGTGTTTGGGGTCTGATTCCTCTTCGACGGATAAGGCGAGACGCGTTAGGTAGTCGTGAGTGGATGAACTCCGACAGAATCTGTCTTGGATCAGGCAGTCGACGTCTGGGGGGTGCAGAGAGGTCGGCCGGAGACCCTCGAGGAGACTGACTACTTGGTTCAGCACTCCTCTGGATTGGCTCTAGTTTAGTGAAGAGAAAATATGTGAAATCGCTGACATTTATTGGATTCAGTATGAAGATTTCAATTTTACGAATATCTTTGGGAGGGAGACATTTGGAACAAAATGTCTTAGATAATGTTTTTTAGAGGATTTCACGGGTTGCGAATACAATCTTTTGACATTTTTTGATAACCCTGGCGGTTTCAGAGATATTTACGAAATGAGTTTGTTTGATTTGGATTCAAACTCTCTTTTTAATTCTGAAAGCAGATGGCCCTATCTATAGAAGAAGAAAGTTTCGTGAAGTTGTTTTATATCGAAATACAGTGAAACTGTCAGCCCGCTAATCCCCAATTTTGATTGGTCAATGAGTCGCGTCAAATTAGTTGCTAAACAACATGCGGTATTTTCAAACTCTTCAAACTCACAAATTATTTTTTGCGTCATAATTGCCAATTTTGTCATGTTTCTTTCAGGTTTTTCTCAGACGCGAAATCAACTAATTTTTCCTTTCTGAATTTTCATTCATCGTGTAGTTCTATGAATTTTATTAATTTTAATTCCTTCTATTTTCCTTTTTTTTGCAAATTTCATTCAATTGTCTTCAGTTTTTTTTTACATGGATCTAGGTTTTAAATTCTAGGAAAACGAGAACATTCCCCGATTTCTTAGAACATTCTCGGATGTCTGTTTTTTTCTATTCGAGAAAAATTTAGAAAATTGTTCATTTTTCTAGAGATTCGATTCACAACATTTCCCTTATTTTTCAATAAGAAAGCGGAGGGGAATTGATCAGAGATTCAAAATTATTCATTATTTTTTCACTTATTATTCATCTTCATTATTTTTTTTCCTACGTATTTTTTATTTTTATTATGACGGCCATCGGCAGGGATAAAACGCTGCCTTACGGCTGGAATAAAGAAAGTCGTATTTCACAAAATACAGAATACTTTTCGTTCTCTTAATTCAAGCCTTCAATTTCGCCTAAATGTGATTATGTTCATGTAAAGAATACCACGAGCTCTTCATTAGAATACTTTTGATATTTTCACCTATTAGAAGAATGGGTTCTACCTCAACCCATTCTTCTAATGAATTTTCGAAACAAAAAATAAAAAGTTCGATTTTTCACCTGACACTGGGATACAGTCGAAACCGCTGCTAACTCCATGGACAAACAAACCGGGGTCTGAAACCCAGAGCTACTTTCACTCCACGTGTTGCTTTGGATCCCAGAAGTATCGTCTACCGAGCGGGATGATTTTTCGCGATCCTCCAGGCTGTTGCATAAGCATCCATAAGTCGAGGAGTTGCTGCTTGCGGGCTCGGGTGTCTCGTAACGAATGGGACTCTCTCGATTGGCAATTTCCAGGAGTTCTTTGGAAGGAGACACCTCCTCCTGAAGGACTTTGTTTGTTTGGTAGTTTCGATGATGACGAAATCGACGAATTGAGAGGGGAACCCGAACTTCCGGAGCGGTTGCGTCCAGGAGAGCTTCTAATTGGGAAGCTCCTGGAATGGAACAGTCTGATTATGACTGAATTTTCGTTATGATTTGTTAATTACGTAATTATCTCGAGAATAGATGAGTTCAGGAGACCATATCAAGAGTCATTCTTGTAGAAAAATAACTGGGGAATTTGTTGGGGAAAAAAATCCTTCGAAATTGTTTGATGAATTCGTTAATTTCAGAGACATTTATGGAGTAATTGGGCACCCGTAATTTTGTAACCATTTACACTGTTGGGAATCTGTTGAAATTGAAGGAATAGCTCCAGTCGAATTTCTAATGCTGTGAATTTTATCTCAGTTCATGATCAAATCTTTCATCAAATTTCGTGGATATCTTCAAAGTTCAACAAAATTGAGTTGTTTATATTAAGCAATTAGCGATATTTCGATGAAACTTTGAATCTTCAAACTCATTGTGGAAATTGAATTGACTACATAATTCACAATTTTAATAGATTAAGAATCCACTGCAAGAGTTGCCTCAATTTTCAGAATTTTTAATAACGTCAAGTGTCGAGTAGATCCTGAGATTGGAATTTTATTCAATATTTCAGAAATCAACTGATTTGTCAATAATAACATATATGGAAATTTGAAACCAAAAAACTTCATTATTCAAACAATATAAAGTGGCATATTTTCTAAAGAATTTCATTTCTCCGGAAAGAGGTCTTCTGATATTTAAAATTCCGTGAATTCTACGGAAAATGCTATTTGTTTTCTGCCAATTTTCCAATCTGTCCGAAAGTTTGCACCTTTCCCGCGTGATTTATTGACAGATCTTCGACTCTCGATATGACTTATTCTCTTAAAATGTTCCCTCCAGAAATTTTCGGGTATAAATTTCCGGCTATATGTGAACGTCCGCATGAAAAAAGACTATTTTGTCTATGTAGAGTTATGTACACTGCAATAATAATGATACGCAGTTTTTTAGATATCAATTTTTTGCACTCCGCGTGCGCAAAATTCCAGTTTCCCCACATTGTCGTGAAAAATAGGGTTGGACACCCGTGAGAAGAGTGTTCTTTGGCCTTGAGAGACTAGCCCTCGTCTACACACCTCCCACGGGTAAAAAAAACACTTATACACTCGCATCGAAATGTACTATTTTGGTATTTCGCTCTAATTTTTTAAATATTGAAATAAAGCTCTTATTGATTCTATTTTCATTCGTAAACGTTTCGACCCTGTTTTGGATCCCCTGCAGGATATTTAAAACAACAATCTACCAACTAACACCATTAAATATTAACAATTTGTGAAATTGGATTTTAAATATTGAAACCATAATTAGTCACATATACCTGAGAGGAAAATATCAACCCATAAAGCCCGATCGCGAAATGTTATCAAATATCGATAACATTCTGCACATTTCGAGCCCAAAAGACCTCAATAGAATCGAAAATGACGTTGGCAAGATAAGATAAAAAATGACGTGACACTGAAATGAGACCAAGGCCCTTTTCATTCGGACGTCCACATATTTTCTTTGCTTCTCATTACAAAACCCGAGGAACAAGAACTTGGAAAATTCACGTCCAAAATGTTTATAAAAAGCATCAAAAGAACGAAAAATCTGTTAATTCTCCTCCGTCACAAATCGGTAAAAACAAACAGAATTGCGAGTTTGAGAGATGTAATCTCCCTACATGGAGAGAAATATTCAATAAAAATGACGTATCTTTTTCGTAATTCCGGAGCGAAATTTGGTCGTCACTTAAATTTTCTGAGTCGATTCCGTAATCGGCGAGTGAATTGTGAGTTCTGTAATTTTTACTCAACGTTTCTCTCCGTGTATAACAATAATATTAATCACCAATTTTCGAAGAATCAATAAGATCCTCCAACTTTCTCCTGAACCTCGGTGTCTTAGGACGTGCCTCCCTAAACGCTGAAGCCATCCCCCCATTCTCCACACAACTATCGAAAAAATATTTCGGCGAAGGAGTTAAAATCCTGTACTCCCTGGCCCTCACAAGCCTCTCCGGTGTGTAACAAAATGCAGATCTCTCCCCACTCGAGTCATCCCCAGAGCCATGTGAGAACGATGCCCCCAAGTTCGATACAGATTCAATTACATCGTCCTCAATAACTCCAGGATCCAGGTCATTCGGATTCACCAGGGATTCAAGCTCAATGTCCTCCATCGTAACTGATGTATCAGACTTCCTCGTAGTCGACCAAAGCCTCGTACAAATGCACTTATCGTCTTCACTTATTCCTTCAGCTCTCAAACACAAACTTCTCAGGTCATTTTGGAAACAAGAACTACGATTACACCGAGTTTCAGTGGATATTTTATGATGGTCTATATTTGTGCACGTAGGGAGTTTTTGCTTTCACTCGGTCTGAACTTTGCACCCGAGATTAGCAATGGGCCATTGAAAATTCGCATCAGCTTGTCTGTGCTCGTTGGCGTCATCGATTACTCCTATCCCGTCGTCAAACATATTACGAGAGAACACGTCACTTTGATAGTTATACCTGAGGGGTTCGGGTGCCTTAGATTATTCTAGTTCATCAAAGATGTTGAGGGTATTCCCACTAATTTAACGACTCTATTTGTCAACACGTCCGGATTATATCACTCAATGAATATGATTAGTATCTTATCCGTTTAGTTAGATCGGATTGACGTTTCTAACTCGGTTTGATGATTCTTCAATTTTAATGCATTCTATTCTGTTTACACAAATTCATAGAATATGATAATGTTCACAAATTGATTAATTCATTATTTTTGTCATTCCGGCGTCAGGAGCGTCCGTGAATCCCTGCCGACTGCCGTTGTGACAAAGAATATTACTCGTTGCACGGCCTAAAAAAACTTTTTTAGCTGATATAATTCAGTAGCGAAGGGGTAAAACGATACAAGTCGATTTTGACGATTGACTAGTTTTCAATAAATATCTCGAAATCTAAGGGAGATCGCAAAATTATTATTATAACCTTTTTTGTAAAACCGATTGAGAGCTACAACAAATGTAGTTATGAAAATTTCGCTATCTCCCTTAGATGCGAAAATATTCCTCAAAAACTCAACTGAGAGATAAGTCGACTTAAAAAGTTTTACCAGTTCGCTACTGAATTGCAAGCTCATATTTTCCAGGAATGTTTTCTTCATCACTTGTGCGTACAATGTGATGAAAAATAGAGTTCGACATTCGTGGGAAAAGTGCTGTTTGACCCTCGGGAGAATAGCACTCTAAGTACCTCCTATTTATTTTGAATGGTTTTTTTGGAACTAGTTTTGATGATTTTTCAATTTGGCATTGAATGCATTCTAATTTGTTTGCATAAATGAATCGAATATAGACATGTTTACGGTGGAAAATAATAAATGACTGAATTATGAATCACCAATAAATTAATGATTTTTTTCATTCAATTTTCATTTTGTTTTTTCACGTGGAGTTTAAATTTAATGAATAGAAATATTGGGTCTGTCAGACGTTCACAAACAACTATTGAATTTTCACTACAAGTACCTCAAATTATTTTCATTGATTTAGCCAATTTATTCGTAAACATATGGGATTATTATTCTCTAATTTGTTTAATTTGAATGGTTGTTTCGGAACGGGTGTTCACGATTCAATGAATAGAGTATGAAAATGTTCACAATAATAAAGAATAAATACATGAATGAATGAATGAATTATTGATTAATTAATTTTTTTTCATTGAATCCACCTTCTGCTTTTTCACGTGACGTTTAATTTGAATAAATGGAAATATTGGATTGATTAGACTTGTGCAAACAACTACCTCACATTATTCTGTTCCCATTTATGCTAGAGACATCTTCACTAATTTAGTCACGTAAACACATGGGATTCGATCACTGGATAATTATTATCAGTCGCTAATCCATTCGGTTGAGCTTGAATTAAATTTCGAACCCAATTATGATGATTAATCAATTGCAATGAACGTCATGCAGTGACGATGAGCGAAAAAGAGAATACAGATGATTCAGAACTTGGGAAAATTAATGGACGGATTATGAAAAATTGATTTATCAATGAGTTTGTCCTGATTAGTCACGAATTGAGTTTCCTTCTGCGGAATTTAATACGGATAAACGGAAATTTTGTGACGACTTTCGTCTTGTGCAAACGACAATACATCCTCTTTACTCGACGAGCATCGAAAAACTGAGGGGGACTGAAGAATCATTGTAAAACACTGGCAGACTTCAGGCTTTACCCCGTTCTAGTCCATCATGCGGTCGTATTATGACCTCATGCGGTTGAGTATCGACAAATCCAATTCTTCGGTTGTGCGGAGTGATAGACACTGATCCCCCCGATCTATTTACGTGATTCAATGATCGATTAATCAATGATTTGTCGAATGTACGGTTCTATCATTCATGATTATCTGATCTGATAATTTTTATGAACTAATTGAACTAAATGTAATTAATGAACTAATTTACATGTTCTTTGTAGAACAAATGTTCAACTCGGTGAAATAGAAATTCAGTTTCCTCGCAAACCAATATAACGTTCATAAATGCCATGAGATATTTACTGCATCTCTACTGGACTGCTTTTGAAAAATTTATTTGTTAAATGATAATTAGATTATTAATAATTCTCATGATCAAATAATGAATCAAATAATCGTAAAACCCTTTTCAGTTTTAATGTCACTTCGACCGAGTTCGTTGGTCCGAAATACGGAAAATCAATGCCGAATATCAATTTTTTAGAATCGAACGTCGGGAGAATTGAATTTCAAATGTACCAGCTAAAAATTATTTTCGTAGGTTTTTGTGATTGCGATTGAATAAACGATCATTCTGTTTCTAATAACGTCAGCTAACCAATTATGCACCCAGGAAGTCATCACCGGTATTGACATCGCACGTCCCCGGTAATTGTGATTCAGACGGACTGAAACGTATGGTCTTCATTTCTGTTCCCCTTGCTTCGAGTACAATGACTGACCACGACTAAATCCAATTTGAATTGCGTAGCGTGAAAATATTGTGTCACTTACGAGACCGCATTCTCTCTAATTGGAGATTTTCCCCGTTGTTTAGTGTTTCAACTCTTCCTGTGCAACTTTCAATCGATAATTCCACTACTGATTCTCTCAGAAATCAGGGAATTTGAAGCGTTTAAGAAAAAATTACGGAAGAGTGTTTTTTTTTAAGGTGTGAGGAGGGGGAATTTTCTACCAAGAGCTTTTGAGAAAAAACTTCTGAGATTTCCTCTTCAATGCGTTCTGTATCGAGATAATTCAATAATCGAGAGTGGTGGTTCAATTGAGTTCATACGAAAACGATGAATGAGAGTTTATCGTCGAGATATTGAAAGTTCAAGTGGAGTTCATCCCCCTCGCCGTTCAGATAATTTTATCCTATGATTTACGACTACTCGATATTGTCCCACGATCATGTAGTTTGTTGTGGCCAATAACTGACCACTCAATGTGCAGAGTGTGGCATATAGAATGCTGGTGGCATACTTAAGGGGTTTCATCAGTGAAAAAAATTGTGATAATGATTCGAAATTTTCATTGGACGTTCATCGTAGCTAATCTGTTCAGCTAATCTTCGGTTATTTTTCGAATTTTTCTAGAGTTCGTTTGCAAGTTCTTCTTTTAAAGGGATGAAAAAAGATTTCATTCATTTTTGAAAATAATAAAAGTAACAATAATCAATTTAGTTTGTTATTTATGAACCCTCACAGCGATTTCCCTCTATATTATAAAAATCCAAATTGACTTCTGGTGATGAAAACATTTTGAGGGTTAAAATAAGGGTGATGAAAACATGAGGGTCAAAATAAGGTTCATGAAGGTCAGAATAAAGATCTAAATAAGGGCTACAAGCGTCAGATTAAGGGTCCAAATAAGGGTCATGGGGGGGGAAAACAAAAGATCAGAAATCAAGGGTTACCAGGGTCAAAATATGGGTCACGAGAATTATAATCGGGGTCAGATTAAGGATCTAAATAAGGATTACAAGTGTTAGATTAAAGATCACAAAGGTTTATGAGGGTCATGATGGTCAGAATAAGGGTCACGATGGTCAGATTAAAGGGCGCGAGGGTGAGAATAAGCGTCACGAGGGTCAGAATGAATATATATATCAATATGTGTGATAGAAATGGAAAATTTGAAAAAATATCTTCTTTTAGAGGGATAAAAAAAGATTTCATTTATTTTTGAAAATAATAAAAGTAACAATAAACAGTCGAAGGTATTACATATAATTTAATGTCGTAATGTAATATATGTATAGAAAAAATATATTCAGAAAATATTTTTTTTTAAGAAATATAAAACTAAGATTTGTTCCTAGGCTCAAGTTTATAAATAAACCTTTTTTGTCAGCGAAATCAATTGCTGACAAAAAAGGTGGCATCAATTCTTTAAGAGAGAATCACCAGCTGTCGTCGATACTGCAGAAGTAACTTCTTCTAACAGAATGATCTTCCCCACCAACACTCGGTATAATTAGCAAGCAAATGAGTAGGGGGCTGCGAGCGCGAAGCTTCCGCAGCTTTGAACTAGAAACCTCGGGCAGATAAAAATGTATGATACGGATTACAAAATATTAACATACGCGATAACGTCACCTGCTCATCAGACTGCCGGCGAGTTTGGTAGTAGTGGAGAGCATTCTCATTATCCTCGGATCATCTTCATCTCAAACAATACTTCTGACTGTGGTGAAGAAAAAATCGTTGCGAGAAAAACTCGGGATACTGACATAAATCGCCAATAAAAAATGAGAATACTCACGTAAGTGTCTTAATGACTTCAATTCATCTCTTGAAGAATCGTCTTGATTACTGAATCTGCAGTGAAGTAGTGAAACGTAGGGAAACAGAACAAAACGAGGTTTTTTCCATTCTTTCAATTATTTAATCATTTGGGAGAGGACAATTCTGAATGACGTTTTCTGTTGGAAATCTTCACCTTTCCAAGAAACAGTCATGAACTTTTGTGCTCAAATAGCTTGTTCCGTACGGAGAGAAATGTTCAGTCAAAATTACGGAACTCACAATTCACTCACCGATTACGAAATCGACTCAGAAAATTTAAGTGACGGTATCATAATTTTTATTTAAAATTTCCTACAACCAAATTTCACTCCGGAATTGCGGAAAAGATACGTAATTTTTATTGAATATTTCTCTCCGTCCAGAAATATTTCTAAAAATATGAGGCTCATAAAAAATTCAGAAAAGTACCAAAATTGAAACTGTTGTATAATGGATTTTTATTTGTCTCAATAGTGAGATGAGAAAATTGATAGTTTTTCTGAAAATCACACTCTAGAAATCAATAAACTATTATCAAAAATATTAATTTTGATTCATCAAATTTTAGAATCCCCTCACACAAATAATTCGCAAAAAGTCGGAAAACGGGAAAACAAGTCTTCTTTCTTCGTTTTTTTATTTTTTAATCATCTCGCAAATGGACCATTGTACGAGAGACTATGAAATACCATTTCCTGTTGGAAAATCTCTCCAGGAAATTCACGATATTTTATGCTGAAATAGCTTATTTGAAAAATATTAGATTGCTAACAAAATCTAGGAAAATTAATTTTAATTTTCGAATTTAAAATTGAAACTACTATAATTGATTCTTGATTATCTTAATAGTGAGTTTAGAAAATTGTCATTTTTCTCAAAATCACTCATTCTAGAAATCAATAATGAATATGAAATGAATATGAAATAACGTTTTCGGTTGAAAATCTTCTCTGCACAACATGTTCTCCACCTTTTTCTCCCAAAACCATTCATTTTGGAGGTAATTATTACCAGTCTCTTGACCTTTCCTGTCAAAATATCTTATTCCACAGATATTCCCGAAAATATTCAGCCAACTAACTCACAAAAAATAACGAAACTGAAACTATCAGAACTGATTTTCAATCATCTCAATACCCCAGCTCAATAAACCATTACCAAAAGAGTTAATTTTAATAAATCAATTTTATCAATTCCATTACACAATTAATTTTGTTTCCCCGCATCGCAAAATCATCACGATATAAATGGTTCAATCAAGCGCAATAATGAGCCATAACTCCCAAAATAAAATTTTACCTCCACGCGAATGAATTTCATTCTCTAATTTTCGAACACACGTGTGGTTGAGCAAATATAAATACACGTTGACCCGCCTAATTTCATCTCATTTTTCCCACCTCACACCAACTGTTCAACATATCACATGTTTTCCTATCTCTTCAAAACGAAATATCTCGTCTATTATTCACCGGAATTACGTGTTGAACATTGTGAGAATAAAACGTACAAATATGAGAATAAAGTGTCAACAAACAGCGAGCAGCAGTTGCCGTAAATCCTGAGTCAAGGGTAATTATGAAAATAGGTGCGTGTATAGCTGCTGTTTTTGCCTTCAAAGCACTCGAGAGATAACAGCGTGTGGTCGTGAATTTCGGATGAGTCGAGATGTTCTTGTGAGATTCAGATGCGTTGGAGGCTGTGATTTCATTTCCCTCTGCGTGCTTTAATGCGTAATCCCGGGGTTTTCAGGGTGGCACTGATTGGGATACTGTGTTGTGAACATGCTGGGGGCAGTGGGGGAGTGAGGGAGAGTCATCCCTGCACTGTACATCATTCGAGGCGGAGTGAATCGATTGGGGAGGATGAGTGCTTCCTGACGGATGAGGATCATCATCTCTGGTGTTTCGGGGATTCTTATCGACTGTGGAGTCATAATGGGTAATTGGTGGTGTTCAAGGATTTTTCTCGTGTTTTGGGGCTTATCTGGGCAACGAATGGGCAGGGGATAATTTTGAGAGGGGATTCACCCCAAAAGAGACACACTGCTGAAAATTTTCGCCTGAAATTACACAGTTGGTACACTGGTGGAAATTTCTTGAAATTTCAGTCACAATGTCATCTGAAATTTCAATGTTGTGAGTTTGAATTCAATTTCAATTGAAAACGTTCGCTAAATTTCTCATTCTTCGTGAAAATTCAAGTAAATTGGGTTTTTCTTGTTAGACGCTGTTTGATTTTTCAATGAAAACTTGAATTTTCAAACTCATCGTGGACATTGAATATCACGTACAATTTAATTTTCAATAGATTGAAAATTCAGAGATGTTATTGTTTGAATTTTCAACATTTTCGAGGTTTTTCAGTCCCGTATGGACCTGAAAATCGAGAACTACTTGAATATTCAAGAAATTAACTGATTCGTTAATGAAGAATTCTACAGAAATTGCATGTAACTTTGTCGTTGTTAAAAATTTCAAGCTTTTTTGAAATTTCAAGTGTAATTTTCTGACGGTATACACTTTTGGGAATTTTTTATCGAATTTAATTATCACTGGAATTTCAAGGGATTCAAGTCATTGAAAATTCAAAATTTCGTGGAAAAATCAAAGAGAATTGTAAATTTCAGAGCCATTTTTCCCGGACAATGAACAGGAAGCCAGAAAATTCCGGTAAATTTATTCGTGAATTTTCAGGAGAGTGTATGCGATTTACGCGAGAAAAAATCATGAAATTTTAAATTTTACTGAAAAATCAAAGTCATTGGGCACTGAATATTGATATTAGATTGGGAATTCAAATAAATTGAGGAATTTTCGTCTTTATATTGCTTAAAATTCTGGAATTTTACTGAAATTTCAGGTTTCACTGAAAATTAGTAGTTCATGAAATTTCATTTTTTTTCCAAACAGAGCAGTCGGAAGATTCCTCGTGGAGGCATCTCCTCTCAATATTACGATTGTAAATAGGCCAAAGTGTAAGGATTTTGTTATTGAAAAATTAGTTGAAACTTTGAATATTTAATGGAATTCTAATTTACCGGTCTATATGATTCTTATCGAGTGTAAACTAGTGATGGATAATTGGGACTGTTCAAGGATTTTTTTCGTATGTTGGGGATTATTTGGGGAACGAATAGATTCAGGGGCAAATGTTAAGAGCGATTTCTTAGGGGAGGGGATTCACCCCAAAAGAGGCACTCACGATGACTCCTCGTAGAGGCATCTGGTGTGATATTATAACTGTAAATATCACGCTAAAACATAGTTACGGTTGGGAATGGTTCTTGGCCCAATTGTTATTGGGGTTTTTCATGACAGGAAGTAATAATAATAATAATATGTGAAAAGTATATCCCTTTGTGTTCCTTTACTGTGACGTCAATCATTATTTCGTTTTGGTAAATCAATACTGTTTAATTATACTATTAAAAAATGACTCTAGAGATCTCGAGTAAAAAATCTTATAACTTTCAACAATATCAAATTTACATGAAATTGTCGAGGATTTTTTATTAAAAAAATCAGTTAAATTCGTGAATATTTAACGTCAATCTGATTTTTAGAATAATTGGTGGTGTTCCAGGATTGGTTCGTATTTTGGGAATTATCTGGAGAACGAATAGGTTCAGGGGAAAATTCTGACACCAATATTAAATAAGTCACTATTTAAATAAAAAATGAGTTTATTAAATAAAATAGGCGAAAAGAATAATGAATAAAATATGCAAATGAAGTGACATGCCCGCGGACTGAGAACACAGATAAAAGAGTGACAAAAACAGAAAGAGACGATCGTACACGAATTTAATTGAGAGAGAGGAAAAGAACAAATACGCAACAATATTGATAGACATTTTTAAGGGGACGGAATTCACATCAAAACAGGTAGTCAGATGATTCCTCGTAAAGGCAGCTGGTCAAAACATTACGATTGTAAATATCACGCCAAAATATACTTACGGTCGGAAATGGTACTCGATCGAATTGTTCGTGCACGGAGAGAAATTTTCTAGAAAAATTCTAATACGAGTACTGGAAAAAATCACAATCCACCAGCTGTGAAAAATTCTAGTACTGTTAAGGGAAATCATTTCTTGGTATTTCTGGTAAAATTTCTGGGGATTTCTGTGAAATTTTCACAGAAATACGGGGGAAAATTCGCGTTTTCCCCAATAAAATTTCTAGTGCTAGCACTGGAATTTTTTCCTAGCCGTCACTTTGCGACTCGTTTCCCATGCTAGCACTAGAATTTTTCTAAAAAATTTCTCTCCGTGTGGTTTTTTTCATGCCAGCACGTATGAAAAAATCGTATAGAAATTTTCTATACGGATTGCGTATAGAATTTATATAGGATTTTTGTATATGATATTCGGATATTTCTATACAGATATTTTTTATACAAATTATATCTATACGATTTCTATAGTTTTGATTCTATACGACGCATGCTGCCACATGTATAGAATCACTTCGTATGGAATTGCGACATTTCTTTATGTTTTTCTCCGGAGCGTTTAGACATCTTTAGTATGAAAACAAAAATTTATGTAGAAATTTAAGTATAGAAATAATTCGTACAGAAAATATTCGTATCGAAATATTCGAATATCATGTACGGAAATCCTATAGAATTTCTATACCCAATCTGTATAGAAAATTACTATGCAATTTTTTCATACGTGAGGAAGTAACATTAACAGTAATATCTGAAAACTATCTCCCTCCGAATTTTTTTATTGCGACACTTTTCTCTGAGTGCCACATAAATATTACAGTTTATGAAATCAACTGTAATTGGGTGAGAATTTCGTCTCCCCGAGAAATCAATAAAACGAGAATATTTTTTATTGAATATTTTCTAGATCAATAGACCTGAAAACACTGACAATCTGCAACTGGCTCCACCCGTCCATCGATCTTCAAGATATACTCTCAAAATTTCCCAAGATCAAGAAACTCATAATTGCCAACAGCAATTTAACAACTCTGTCCAAGCCATTCCCCAGCGACGCGAAACACCTCGAGGTTCGTATGCATTATTAATTACCAACTTTTTTTCCCCCACTGTCCTATATCTCCATTACTCTCACGCAGAAAATCCACATCACTGGGACCCAGCTCCAAGGAGTGCCCAGGGACGCCTTCAAACATTTATCTGGTCTCAAAATTCTAGATGTTAGGAATAATGCTCTGACAGAGATTGATCCAGCTGCACTGGTTGCGCCCAAGCTGCAGCACATACTGTTGGCAGGTGCGCATGCATTCAGATTTACCTATCTGAAATTTTTTTGCCATCCTTTCTGTCAGCGACATAATTAATCTTTTTGTCACAGTCTTCGCGAAGCCTCGCTTCACGCACGCAGCGCTCTCGCTAAAAAGCCGTTCACAAACGTAATGACAAAAAATATACTTCGTTACTGCGCGAAAAAACAATTTCTGGCGAATATGAATGCAAACTCGCCTTTGACTCGTCTCACCTCATATTCGCCAGATAAATTTTCTTCGTTACTGAAGAAATAGTATTTTTTGTCACTGCTACGACGCAGTGAAGAAAATTTGGTGTTGAAATGAACTCTTTTTCTAGAGGGGCCATTCATTTGAAAATCCGGTGACACAGTGATTGCTGATTTCACGTTATTTCAGGGAGATTTCGTGCAATCATTGATTTCATGTGATTGCCTGGGATTTTTCGGTGATTTCGCGATTTCAAACGATTTCAACTGATTTCAAATTTTCAATTTCATCTATTTGCTGAGGGGGGGGGGGAATGGAGTAGGATGGAATGGGGATAGAACCTGGAGGGAATGAAATGTAGCATATTAATGCAAGAAGGCTCAAGCATGAGTGTTGCAATGCGGGTAAATCTTTTATTTTTTCATGCATTCGATAAAATATCTATTTTTACCGCAGCCAAAATTGAGGATTCCAGGAAGTCGTACGAGAAAATACGCGTTTTTTCCACCGATTTTTGTTTTTTTCTATGTTAAAAATAATACACGTAAATCTGAATTCTTTCTCTTTTATGTATTCGAAAGGGTCTCATGAGTTGCTGATTTCATGAGATTTCACTGATTTCACTTGATTTCAACTGATTTCATACGATTTCAGTCGTGACAAAACACAGTGATTTCACAAATGAATGGCTCCTCGCTTTTTGTTCTATATATCACAAGTAAACGAGAAGACTTTTCATTTATGAGTAAACGAAAAAGCACATTTCGAAACGAGGGGAACGTAGTAGCAGTGTCAAAATAGTATATTTCGGAACGAGTGCAAAAAACATTTTTTCACGAGTTACGAACAATATTTTTCATCACAATGTGGCGGAAATTGGACTTTTAGGCACGCGGAGCGTGCCGAAAAGTTCACTTTTCGTCACAGCGTGATGATAAATTATTTTGTCACGACTGTGACTAGTGATGCCGCAAGACAAGACAAGACAAGACAAGAATTACGTATTTCTCTTACGAAACCAATACATACGCATTTCTCTTTACAAATTACGCATTACTCTACGTATTTTTCTCTTTGGAGAATTACGTATTTCGTGTCTTCTCTTGTAATTTTGGGGTTTTTCTCTTGTCTTGCCTTGTTCCAAAGGAGAGTAAAACAAATATTTCGAAAAAAATTCCGTCATTTCCGATATCTCCCAAACCCTCAAAAATTAGATCAAATTAATTCCGTTTATATCGTGCCGTCCATAGATATCAGAGCTTGAAAATTTCCATTCTACCCCAAATGGCATTATGCACTCCACAGCATAAACTTGGTTTATGACGGTGTTTTTTATAAAGAGAGATGTAGAATGAAAATGCAAAAAAATGAATGATAGGTAATCCCTGGAAATGTGAGGATAAAACAATGACCTGGATTCTGAATATGACGCATGGATCTGTTGCCCGGAAAATTGGGGATAGAGATAAATTACACTGTGCTCATCCGTACGAGGAACGACCTTTGCTGCCAGTGGTGGAAATTATTGCGGTATTCATTTGGAAATGAAATTTGGGGGGGAAAAATAATAGTGTAAGGGAGTGAATGAAATGACAGGAATTGTTGCAGACACTGAGGGAAGAGTGCAGTAGGACGGTTTGCGAATGTGAATTAGTTTACGTTGTGGGACGGGTTGGTAAACAAACGCAGAGGAACTTAATAGCATTTGTATCAACGAATTGCAGTCACCGGGGGCTGAGGGAAATGCCGGAGTTTATTCCTGCAAATACGACTACGCTGTGGCTAGATGGAAACCAGGTTTGTTATTTTGTTGAAATGAGCAATGATAAATAATTGAATTGACTGTAAATCACTGGTTCTTTCATCTTTACGGCTTATTTGGCGATGGAAGGAATGGGTTCAGGGGAAATATTCGAAGATTTTTTTTGTAAATGTTTACAGAGGAAGAAAAGCTTTGATTTTCAGGGACATGTCACTGATTTTTAGTTGGATTTTGTCATTATCATTCTTCTTATTATCCCTTTCTTCTATACAATCGATTGTCTTTTTTACAGTTCCATCTCTCCCCTCAGCCCTTCGATAAAATGTTAATAGAAAAATTTTATTTACACATACTTGAATGAATTTGAAACATCACATTTGAAGAAACCATCGGAAAGTTGACTTTCAGGGAAATTCATGAAAAAAACAATATTTTCAACAATCATCATAACAATCAAATCAACCAGTATAGTTATCGTAATCATCTTTTAACTTTGGCTTAATGGCATTAAAAGAAATATTTTAAGCTATGAGTGAATTCATTGGAAGCATGATATTCAAAAATATCCCCGGGATTCTGATTTTCAAAAAACACAAAATTTTTGCAAACTTTTAAATGAATTAAAATAATTTTTGCTATCGCCTTCATCTTCGAACTCGGTCGAAAGGACATCCAAACAATTTTTTAAAGCCATCATTCAATCAATTCAGAACATTTTTTTTAGTTATTGTGGGGCAACCGATTTTCAAAAAAATTCAAAAATAAAACAAAATAATCGATGAATTGAATTTTAGTTAATGGCGATCGTTAGAGCTCAACAATATCTGCTTTTGAAAAAAAATATTGAATTGCAACCATTTACTAGTGAACAATTGAAGAAAAACTTTACCCGACACATGCGTGCGGACACGGTCCAAAAATTGTCCTAAAAATTTTCGGACTTTTTGGATCATAATCGCTCGATATAACACAAAAAATTAAAAACTTAAAGTTGAACGATTACACTGCTAAAGCAATAGAGCAAGAAATAATAAAAACACATCATTAGCATGTAATATGTCTGCTCTTGATGAAACAACTCAAACCTAATTAGACCGAGTACACTGAGAAAAAAATTACTTTTGCAAAGTAAATTTACTTGCCACACGTAAATGTATATAAATTTTTGCATTTGAAATGTGTGAATTGTCTCGTAATTACTAAATTTACTTGGCAAAAGTAATTATTTTTCTCAGTGTAACATTTTAGCCCGAAATAATATTCACCGTAATATTACGGCACGTAATAATATTTACTGTAATATTTTGGCGTAATATTTTTAATAGGTAAGTTTCGTTTTGAATTATCGCAGATCACAGACTTGAGCCCTTTGATAACGAATCCAGTCTACCGACAAGTACTCGACTTATACCTGGATAACAATGGAATCGCATCCATCAATCAGTTAGAGGGGTCTGTCTGGTTTGACAACTTCCGAGTCTTGAGTTTGAGAGGAAATAAATTGACCGACGTAAGTTTTCCTTCGGGAGAGTATGTGGAAATTCTCGAATGTTCGATTTTATTTATGAGAGGGATTTCAGTTGCCCACGTATGCATTCGAGAACGTCCTCCTCAAGAGTGGAAATGCTGTTAGTTTGTATTTGGGAGATAATCCTTGGACCTGTGACTGCCTCTTCACGCCAGGATTCCAGGTAATTATCTTGGAAAGCCTTGGAAATAATCGAAAACCCATAAAAATACTTACGAAACCCTACTGCATTTGCTAAAAAATTCTATCAACATTTTGCTGATATTTTCTGTAGAAATTCCTCGATCTAACTTCATAAATTTCTTTTACTTTTATTTGAGAAAGAGACATGAAATGAAAAAATGGAAAATTTCTCTCTATCTTATAGAAATCTAAATCGAGTTCTGGTGATGAAAATTTGATACTTGAAATTAAGACTCCAAATTAAGGGTCACGAGAGTCACAGATTAATGGTTACAAGTGATAGAAGAAGGATCATGGGGGTCATATGGGGGTTGGCGAGTGGAGCGAGGAGGGGTCGTAGCCCCCTACTATATGGATAATAGTGGATAATTTTTTCCCAAACAATTTTCATAAAAAATGTCTTAATAAAGTAAATTATATCGAAAAATCGAAATTTTTTGAGTTTTTCTAAGAAAAAAATGCCCAAAAAGCCGTAAAATTTTTCAGTAGAATCTGTGAACAATTAGCAGATTTTTTAATAAAAATGCAATATTCTTTTTTTTAATAAGAATTTCCTCATTTCTCGTGAATTTGAAGATTTTTCCCCAAGATATTTTCCATAATTTGATGATGATTTCGAATTCATTCATCTCCCTTCATCACTCCCGACTGTTTCTTCATTTTGTAAATCTCAAATTCTTAAGATAATCGATTTCTTTCAGGATTTATTGATACGCTACACAAAACTAGTGAAAGACGTCAATGAAATTCGTTGCCACTCGGTGAAAAATTTAGAAAACCTGGACAAACCAATACGTGACCTAACACGAACCGAAATTTGCATCATCGAGAGTGAAACAAGTTGGCTGCATCCACTGGACGTGTTGAACGTATTTCTTGCATCAATGATCATCTTCATTCTGGGAAAACTTGTGTACGATTATTGGTCCTTCAAGCGAACGGGAAAATTGCCCTGGCTAGTCGCCAAAATTCCTTGAGCACTTCATGTTAATGGTTTTAATGAAACAAATGAAATAAATTACAGTCATTCAGCTCGAACTCACCCAATCGTAAGTTAAAATGGGGCCCTGGTGGCACTTTTCTACGAGAATGAAGAGAAATAAAAAGTTATGCAATTAATTTTTTGAGATTTTTCTGAACCACGTACCTGGAATATTCGATTGCATGAATTATTACTGGCGAACTTGTTGAAGGGTGGGGGCGACGTTGGGAGTTTGGATTTTGCGTTGGGGGACCTGGGTTTCTTTGGACTCGTGTCTTTCCCCCTTGGGGATACCGGTTCTTTCAAAAAAATATAACATAAGCATTCAATATTATCAATGATCACGTAGGGTAAGCGGGGCATGTACCGCCCAGTTGAGGAATAATTATGTTTTTTGCATTCAAAATCCCAACTCTGAATAAAACAGACTATTTTCAAGTCTTCTCCTATTCATCTTGATATTCTCCAGTTATAAATCCTCGATTACTTGTAGAATTTAGTCGCTGAATTATTCTGAAGATTTCCCGTTTAGGAGGTTTCCAAGGTTTCTTTGTTCGAAAGAAACAAAAAAAAAAATTTGAATGATTAATTAGAAACGAAAGAAACGATAAAACCGCTCAGTTTTTTTACAATTTTCCTTTTCCCATTCTTGATTATTATATGAAATAAGTTATTGAGTTTTTCTATTCTCATTTCAAAGGCATTTTGAAGGACATTCTCAAAGGCAACAATAGCTGTTTGAATCAAATAATTTATTTGTTAATTAATTTTTTGAATCAAATAAGGAATTCTTCCACCTAATGTCCATTTTTCAGAGTTGAATATCGCAGAAACTAGGTAGTACAAAATTTTACAAGAAAATCACCATTTTCGGAATTCACCACCCATTGCGGACTAGTTTTTTACGAACATCGTAAGAAGCGTTTTCTCATAAGATGGAAAAATCGAGTTCGGGGGGACCCATAACCCCCGTTTGCCTCGCGTGTTAGAAGCCAGCATTTCACCATTTATTATCCTCTTTTAAAAGAAGAATGTAACGTTTTTTGTCTGCAGTCTATTCCGCTATGATTGACTTAGGATTGGTTTCATCCTAAACTTGAATATCTTATATATTTATATATTTGTTTATTATATTTATATTTATTTATTTATTTTATTGGAAATAAATTAACTATAAATAAAATTATTATTTGTTCTTGGTTAACATTCGAAGCAATTGGAAGATTATATGATATTATTTCAACATTTTAACATTTGTAACATGTTAAAAGGTTGAAATAATATCATAAACCCTTCCATATAACCTTCTTCTCCACATCCTATTAGAACTTTCGTTATTTGCAAGAATTGATCACTCTTTAAAACAATCTGAATAATGAATGAACATTAGCCATCTGTGATGATGACTTAGCTTAACATGAGACTCCTACATTTTATGCGCGCCCTTTCCCTAGTCTTCTAAACTGTGTAGTACAGCTGGTTAGCATCTTTTTCAATAGCCGAAGACTATGATAAGCATTATTTATGAAAAACATGGGGACGATATAAAGAAAAATGTGTTTTCTTTTGTTTATACGTTAAACAAAAACGAAATATTCGACTCGTGCAACTCCTCGGAAAACCTGGAAACCCCCTAACCGGGATATAACTAGAATAATTCAGTCAGGACTTTTCAGGTCACAATATACGACGCGGGCGTGTTTTACTGCATTAAGAGATGCTTACGCCTGGGACTTCTGACGGGAATGTGCGAGGGTTTATCAATGTCCAGAGATACGCTTCTCAACGGTGACAAGTTGGAGGGCCGTTTCTTGTGGGGCGAGAGGGCTCGCGAGGGGAGAGGAGACCTATCATTATCATTTTTTCTCGGTTTATCTTCGTACGAGGATATCCGAGGCTGAACAGGAGCCAACACAGCTTCCTTCGTGGTTATCGATGGCTCCAGCACCGGGACTTTATTCTCGATTAATTTTATACAGCTTATTGTGGAGATTGTGCGATTGTAGATTTCACGGGGTACGTCGAACTTTTGGATAATCGAGAGTTTGTTTAGTTCAATGAGTTCGTCGCTTGCCTCGAGGTCATTTACAGTTCCTTCTGGAAATTATGGAGATTGAGTGATGCATTTCCAGACGTTTGAGTCAAATATTTGAGTTTTTAGGAACCTGCGGGGTCGACGGTCTCCGTGGGGTGGGGGGATGGGGTTAAATCAGAGTCCTCGGGGAAGGAATCGTTCACTACTTGGGACCACTCGTTCAAACTTTCGAAGTCATTATCGGGACTGTCGAGTTTGTCGGAGGACTCGGATTCGCTGTCTGTCATCGAGATTTGTGCCTCTAGATATCGATGGGAGTGGGACAAGTGGAATATTGGTTTGATATCAATATAGTATAGTTTTCTTGCTAATTAATTAGCAATATGCTTTCGAATAGTCATTTTGCACATCATCTACTTCTATAGGACATAATTCATCTTGTCATATCATTTTATTAGATTCAATGAAATTTCTTCTTTAATCAATTAATCAATTGTGCTATATTTATAATTCAGTTTAATGTTTTATAAAATTTCATAAATTCAATAATATATATCTATACCATTCATTTATACGATGAAAGTAAATTAAAAGTAGGTCGTTTTAATGATAATTGAATGAATTTTAACCTTTCTTTTTTTTATTCAAATAATCACTTTTTCGTAAATTCAATTTCCGAAAAATTCTAAATTTACAAAAATCATCATTAAAATCAAACTAACGAATATAGATATCGTAAAAATCTTTTAACTTCGACAGTGACTTTGGAACTAATATTTTTAGCTATCATCGAATGAATTTGGGGCATGATTACTGATGCCGCAAGATATTTCATGAGACATCACGAGACAAAATTTTTGAGAGATGATCTCCGTCTCGATGAACATGGAAATCTTTGCTCCCGTCTCAGTTTCGAAATACACAGTATCGACTCCTCTCGGGATGACCCGAGGCAAATTATCTCATCTTGGTCTCAAGTTTTACCTGTTTTTTCGTGTAAAATCTCGGGTTTTGTCTCGGTTTGTCTCGTCTCGGTTTTCTACATATAATAAAAAACGCGAAAAACTGGAAACCGAGATGAGATAAATTGACTCGGGGTCATCACGAGAAGAGCCGATACTGCGTATTTCGAGACTGAGACAAGACCGAAGATTTCCATGTTCGTTGAGACCGAGATCATCTCTCCAAAGTTTTGACTCGTGATGTCTCATGAAATGTCTCGCGGCATCACTTTTTTTTTATTATGCTAAGAATTGAATCAACGATTACAGCTATCGCCTTCATCTTCGAACTCGGTCGAAAAGACATTCAAAGAATTTTTTAAAGCCATTATTCAATTAATTCACAATATTTCTTTTGAGTTATCGTGAGACAATTTTTTTTTAATTGAAAAATTGAAAAGTGTAATATATGGATTAAATTTCATTACATTCGGGACAAAATGATTCAATTCCATCGATTTATTAGCGAACAATTGAAGAAAAAGTTTGTCACACACATACATCCGGACTTTTTGGATCATAATAAGTTGATATAACAAAAAAAAAAACAAAACTTAAATTTCAACGGCTACAACGCTTCCATTCGGAAGCAACCAAAGTTGTTTGTTATTTAGCATGAAAATCAAAGTTTAGACAAAAATTACTGTACAATGTAGATAATCCGAGAGCAAAATGATTCTTTAAGACTTTTTATTTGAAATCAAGGAAAAAATGTGAGGCAAAAGACTAGATTTCGCTCCACGATTACATTTCGCACAGTAAAATTTGCCACGATTTTTTAAATCGAGTGACGAATGAAATTAAAATACAGATTGATCAGTGGAATTTTGCTTACCGATCTCCCGATACCTCAGTGCATGCTCGGCCCGCTTCATAACCCTCTCCATATCACAAAGCAGAGATGCAGTCTGGGGAAATCTCTCCCTCATCGTCTCCCAAATATTTTCCACGTTATCAACTCCCTCCAGCAACTTGGGTGATAATTTAACCAACTTCGACACACCATTTTCATACTCCTTATCTCGTGACATTTCCAACTATTCGAATTTATGAGAAACAGATCACAGTCGTCGAAAACACAAGAAATCGGTATCGAGATGTAACTTCACTAGCCGCGGAGGAATAATTGGAGGGAATAAACTTTTTAGAGGATTTCATGAATTGAAAAAATCTCTTGTAACATATTCTCTCCTAAACCTGATGGTTTCTGATGTTTCCAAATTAATTTGTAAATTGCGTCGATAGTGAAAGATGTCAGGAACACATTTTCGGGAAGAATTATTCGATGTTGCAGTTTCTATCTAATCTATTTCAAAGATCGACACAGAAGAGATTATTGAATGCTCTATAATTTCTTTCATCTTCAAAACTCCATTTTATAAAAAAAAAACAAAATCATGTTCGATATAAAATGTGATAGGGCGCGGATTATCTGTCGCAACATAAAAAGGTTTATGTCACATAAAAAGGTTTACATTTGTGGTGATCTTGCGACGGCGGAAGGGGGCGGGGTTTAAAAATGTATGAAAAATTACGTGACAAAACGTAAAAGTAATGGGAAATGTTCTTTCGGGAATATTTTCACGTAAACACTCGACAGAATCTGAGGCGAAAATTAAAATTTCCCTCTTGTGTTCTGAAAAGTTTACGGGTCGAACCGTAATTTTTACGTGACACTTCATAAAAATTCGGGGGGAGAGCAGTGATTTCTGCAAGCGTAATTGTTCCGTGACTTCCATGGTACTGTTTACGCAACTTTTTCATCATGCCGTTCGCAAAACGTCGTTTATGGACATTGTGAAGAAAAATTACGTTTGTCACTCAGCCGAAAACAACTTTTTCCTCTCGCCTTCGGCTCGTCCTGTAATTCGCCAGAAAAGTTCTTTACGCCTTAGTGTCGAAATGTACTATTTTCACACTTCTGCTACATTAACCTCGTGCCGAAAAATACCTTTTCATCATGCTGTGCGAAAAAGTAACTTTTTAGGCACGCTTCCCGTGCCTAAAACGTCCCTTTTCCACACATTGTGATGAAAAATATCTCGTAAGACTCGCCTTCGGCTCGTGCTATAAACCTCCCACGAGCCAAAAAACTCTTTTCCCCACTCGTAACGAAATATACTATTTCGTTTACTCGTAAATGAATAGTACATTAGAGTACAAGGGCACAAATTTCGTTTTCAACGAATGTGTAGTTTACAGGCCGAGCTAAAGGCGAGGTCTGTACACATATTCGTTGAAAACGAAATTTATTACCGAGTGCTCTATAATATTTTATGGCAAGTCGCGCAGAAGTCGAGTTTCGAGCAGGCTGCGCGAAGCGCAGCGTGCGATAAACTCGACTTATTGCACGGCGCGACATAAAAGTCTATTTGTAAACAAAAAAGACACAGTTCGACCACTCGCTGAACGTAACATCACTGTCAAAATTCCTCGGCTTGGCTTTGGTCCGAAACCCTCACACTCGTCAGAAAAGTTTTTTTCGGCCTTGCGAAGAAATAGTATAAGAGTAGTCTGACAATGAACATAAATTTGAGGTGCACACAGCAAAAACGAATGTCTGAATTTCACATACCTTTTGTAGACATTTTTCAGACACTAGAAAACGTATGAATAAAATTAAGATTTGTCTCAATTTCAAACATGAATTAAGATGTTTGCGCACCTGTTCGTCTGAAATTCAGACACATTTTCACTTTATTTAGACGTTTTTTAGTATCTGAAAAATGTCTACAAAAGGTGTGTGAAATTCAGACATTCGTTTTTGCTGTGCATGCGTGTGATAAAAGTATGTGAAAATTAGAGTCATTTTTTACAGTGTAAATAGCTATTTCCTCCGTGCAATAATTGAATGCCGGACGAATAGCGCAGAAACTCCCCAAGAAAATCACCGTTGGAGGAATACCTCGTAGTGCACTGCTGCAGGAATCAAAGAGAAAGCCAAAAACGCTGTGACATTTTATTAAAATTATAAACACGAGATTACAGTACAATCCACGTAACACAACGTGTTTTGTCATGCTTAGAAACTGTTGTCGTTGAATCAAGGCCACGTTGATTCAAAATTCACCTTAATAATATTATTATTTCAATTCTTTTATCAATTAATTCACTCAATCTTTCATCATATCATTAAGTTATTATTATTTGTTGTCAGTTGTCATTTCATCATTGAAATTAATCATTTACTTATGAACTACGTGTGCGAGCCGATTTGTGCTACGTGTACGTACATACATGCATTGTGTTCGATTCTCTATTTCTTAAAATGCTCTCGTAAAATTCTGCGGTGCTCCCTTCCACTCCAATTAATTCACTCACTCATTATTCCTTTATTTATCAATTTTTTTTTTATTTTTTCCCGTAACTTGAAAAATTCGTTGTCACAGAGTTACATTCTCTTCATATTCATAATGACGCACTAGAAAACCAACAAAATTGAACTAAATAATCTCCAGAAATGAGAATTAACTGCTTTGTGAAATTCTAGAAAAGTATGAAAAAGAAAAAATGATAAATTGGATTGTTGATACGCTTACTTCTATCACAGCATAAGGATGTCTCGTGTGTATAAGATATCATTGAGTGCACAGTTTTCACAATTATTGTTGTTTCTCCGATAAAACTATTAATACAAAAATAAAAGGACTCAAGAGATCAAAAGATTTTAATCAACTACTATACATTGATTGCTATTATCATTCAATCGTCAAGCCCCCACGGTCTCTTCGCAAATGGCAATATCAAATTTCTCTTACTATTTCTTTAATTGAGTTTATTTTTAGTGTTCGACTTATGCATACACTGGTGGAATACCGGATTGAAGAGATGAGACGTCGTAATAATTCCGCAATTATCTCGGAACCAACGGGCTCGGGAGTCAAATACAGAGGGACCCTTTGGGCTGTCATAAAAATTTCAACAAAAAAGGTCACTTGACATTCTCCCGTTGCCCTTCGTTATCGAGATAATCTCAATTTTTATGAAACGAGTTGAGTTGTTACGTTTTACCACTTCAGTTCAGAATTCCTCATTAAAATGACGTGAATTGATGGATCCATGAGATACCACACATCACACGTACCTCACACGTACCTCGGATGAAATATCGCTGCCTCATACACTGGATTACAACGTTGTATGTCCCGCGGACAAGAACCAGGCGAGACCAACAGTGTTTTTGCTCTTTCCCAAGAAAAAAATTAATTTGAGCAGTTGCCGTTGTTCTTGTAATACAGTTCCCTTCATGTAGAGAGAACAGCCGAGGAAAAATTGTCCGGGAAATCTCGGCAAATGTTGCTGTTTGAAAGGTAATCGTGGAGCGAAATGTAATTCAGTAAAAAATACTTCAAATGGAGGATATGTTACGATTCGTGCTGCACTGTTGGAAAATTACACTTGAAATTTTAAGTGAAAAAGCTTGAAATTTTTAACAGCGACCAAGTTACATGAAATTTCTGTAGAATTCTTCATTGACGAATCAGTTAATTTCTTGAATGTTCAAGTAATTCTCGATTTTTAGGTCCATACGGCACTGGAAAACCTTGAAAATGGTGAAAATTCAGGCAATAACTTCTCTGAATTTTAAATGTATTGATAATTGAATTGTATGTGATATTTAATTTTCAACAATGAGTTTGAAAATTCAAGCTTTAATTGAAGAATCAATGATCGTTTAACATGAAAAACCCAATTTTCTTTAATTTTCAAGATGAATGAGAAATTTAGTGAACGTTTTTAATACACATGACATTGTGACTGAAATTTCAAGAAATTTCTAACAGTGTGGGTAAAATGACATTTGTGCACGGCGAGAAAAGGGGGGGGAGGGAGGACAGCCGGGGAGAAATTCCAGTGCTGGCAGTGGAAATTTTATTGAAATTCCCAGAAATTTTACCTCAACAGCACTAGAATATTTCATAGACAATGGACTGTGATTTTTTTCTGTATTCGCACTAGAATTTTTCAAAAGAATTTCTCTCCGCGTGGAAGCAAAAATTAGCGTTCCCTCCATAGTGAAATTTTCCGCACATCTACAATATTTTTTTCAGGCAATGGTATTTTACTGAGCGATTTTCCCGAGTTTTTTCTGAACTTTTCGAAAGATTTACAAAAGTTTAGAAGCAAACGCAGTAAAATGGTTGTACAGTGAAATTTTGTGAATTATTCAATAATAATAAACCGCATAGTTTGGATAAAAAAGGTGAAAATTGGCTGAAAGAACAGAACATCCTTAAGGTGCATCCCTAGAAAACACGTTTTTCTCAAAATTATACCATTGTTCTTCATAGATAAATAAATTTTTTGTTATTAAAATTTTATTCATTTTATCACTCCACGATTACTTGCCATTTCCAGTAATTTTCCCTCAACATTTTTCTCCGTGCAGCCACGTTTACCTCGAGAATGATTGGTCTCAGGAGAGAACATCGAAAAAGCCTTTTTGTAACTGCGGAAATTTCCCGCAAAAATGTCTCTCGACAATTTCCCAAAGCCACCCACTCCCGAAATAATTCCCAACACGTGAGAACCGCGCAAAAACCCTAGTCACTTCCCCTCAGGAAGTACCCCAATTTGAGCAGTTCAAGTTTCTTGTGCGACAGTTGAGCCAGTGCTTCTCCCCATGATAATCTTTGGCATGAGTACGCGGCTTACGGACACATCTCCCTCACACCCTCTCTCCACACAGCCCAGCTGAGTCTAATCCTACTTATTGAGTTTATATTAAAAATCGTTATGAATAAAAAAAAAGAATTGTTGCCTCATGCTAACAATGATCACTCGTGAATGACTATTTGGCACGATAATGTGGACCTCATTTGCAATAAAAAAGAGATTAATTTTTCGCATGACTCGATCGTTACAATCACCTATAATTATTTAAAATACGTGGAAAAATGAAGTGAATTCATCACGCACACGTCATGAGTATTTTTGTACATTATTTGTACAAATTATATTTGAGCAGTTGTTCGGGTAACAGATATTTATTGCTCATCTCTGCATGGATAATTGTCACCCCTTGACTGCATCATTACTCAATCCATTCATTATAATAAATTGATTAAAAAATTCTCACGTGACATTTTCAAGGATGAAATTGAATTTTTCGTCCTTGTCAAACGGTCGTCTCTATGTCAGCTATGGCGTATTGTCAACAAATACTGTCCTTGCCGTAATTATCCACGTACATGTCTTGGGGTGTGCCGATACTGTATCGACCCCCCATTCTACTACTGGTTAAACCATTATTGTGATGCTGATGGGTGTGATTCACTTGAAGATGATTGACATTCATTGCCACATTTTTCTTCTTCTTCCGGGTTTTGTGACGGTATATGCAGTATTTTAGGCAACCAGTTGCGAGGAGGAGAATCAGGAAGATACCCAAGGCACCAGCGCCGATGGCTACGTACAGAAGGGTCACTCCAAAACGGTAGGAACAGTTCTCCTCCTCCTCGTCGAAGCCTGATGGGCAGTGACGGACACCGTCACACCAGAGGACTGCGCTTATGCATGCTTGAATCTCTGGGCATCTGAGAATTAATAATCAAGGGAAGTCTAGTCATTCATCTGATGGAAATCCTCTATTAAGGATACTTAAGTGCTCTGGCTATTTTTTTCTTTTCTACTTTTCCAGTCGAACATCAGAGCTTTCATTTGAGCCTCATTTAACCCTAAGTTTCCGGATATTTTACAATGATTTTAAACTTGTTTTTTTTTATTTAAACTTTACAGGTCTGAATTTGAGTCTCGGTATTGAACCGTTAGAAAACATTTTAAAAATCGGAAAAAATGAGAAAGTGTACTTTTAGAGGAAGATTTATGAAATGATTGAAAAATTCCAATTTTTTAAAATTACGAGCATTTTATGTAAATAATTTATTATATAATCATGCGTTAGGAATGGTAACAAATTTATTCACATTCGGATTTTACCAGAAATCGAATTTATCCCCAAAAAAATAAGGTTTCCGAAAGTTTAAACAATTTAAATTATTCATTTATTAACAAGGAATGCTTAACAAATAGTAATTCTGTGCAAAATGTAATTTTAATGACGCTGAATATTCATGATTTTTTTTCAAATTTTTCTCGCGGAATTTAATTGACAAATTTGATGACTGAAAATTGTTTGAAAAAAAATTGAAATTGAACCGGTAGTTTTTGAGATATTGAGCGAATGAGTTTCACTTCCGAAGTTGAATAGCTCCGAAACTACGAGTTCGAATTTGCTCAACCAAAATAGCAAACTTTGTTATCATAAGACCTGGAATCCTACCAAGTTTCGAGTTTCTATCTCGTTTATTTTTTAAGGTTATCATGCGTACAAGCCATTTCAGCGAGAAAATGGAAGATTGATTTCATCGTCATATGCACCCAATTGCCTCACGTGCGAAAGGTTCCGAGTTCAAAACTCGGCCGGGTAGAATGGTGAAATCTAACCATTTAAAGTCTTGATCATCATCGCAGCATACCCTAACCGGGACGAGGCGATGTAAAATAAGGATAAACGAAGAAAAAAATATGCACCCAATTTCAAAATCTTTACGACGTAAAAATTGATTTTGGAAATTTTTTAAAAACCATTTCAAAAACCAAATCATTTCTACATTTTTTTTCTCAAATTCAAACACATTGAGAGCTAATTTCAACTCTCTTTTTTAATCGCACATCCTTTCTTAGTTGAAGTGGAATTTTATATCGCGGAGAAATTATGTTCAGGAGAATGATAAAAATGATAAATTTTTTTGACAAAGAGATTTTACACAAAAAAATTACAAAAGCCTCTTGATAATGGGTCCGGAGCTCTTTTCCCGTGAATATTCCCCGCGGCAAATTCTTTCAAAGAAATTTTCCCATTGATGATTCTTCTACGGGCTTAGACTACGACAAAAATCGCCAGAGCCTTTCTTCACGCGGATGTCGACAAATTATCAATATTAACCAACAATCCCTGCAGAACAATTGATTCGCTCATAAATTGTTGAAAAATAAAAAATTGTTGAATTCCCTCTAAGGAGTCAATAAAAATCCCATTTGAGAATCCCCTCTAAAGAGTCATCTCTTAATGATAAAACGCATGGGATAAGAATTCCGCATAATGAGTCAGACCGTGTGTGAATCCTGTGAAATGTTCACGACTTGAACACGAACACGTGGCGCCGAACCGACAATTTCTTGCCTCAAGAAATCGTTTATTTCTTCTCAAAATATGAGAAAATGATTAAAAATACTAAAAGCTTCGATTCAGTCAATCATGGATCAGAGACTTTCAATTGAATGAATACAGAATTTATACAGGGGAGAACCTTCAGATATTTAAAAAATATACCCGTCACTTGGACTCAATCGCAATAAGGTTAAAGGAAAGTTACTTTGCCTCTTCAGAAATACTATCTAATTTCCAGAAACAAACATAATCTTTTCATTCAGTACCATCCACCGATTTCTTGTCTGAAGCCTACACTGATGAAAGGATTAGTTATTATTAACGAATGGATTCGGTTGTAGACGAGGGTCTATTCAGTCTCACCAAATGTTCATTCGTTAATAGTCAACAAATGCACATTTGAGGACCCTTGTTTGACTCGATTTTTACTTTTCAAGTGAACCATTCGTTAATAGTTGACGCATCTCGTTCGGAATAAATGAATCAGTCTATCAGTGTACCATGAATTGCTCGAATATGCATGCGATGACCCCTCAAGAAACCAATTTCGTCATATTATATCAATTTTTCTCTCGTGTCCATTTTGCCGCCCCGGCCCCCACAGAACATCAATTTATTGACAACACTCACCTGTACGGGCATTGTTCATGCGGTGCCCCAGCAGCCACACCCCCCGCAGAGCCACCCTGCAGCGTCCCCCTCTTGGCAATAGCAATCCACGTAACAGCGTAAGAGCCATGCTCCCTCTGCAGAAACTCCACAACAAAGCTCCTCGCATGCTGCATCATCGCCCCAATTCCACTGGCATTGGCCACACTCGAGTAATTCCATCCCCCCGAGAAAAAGTCCACAGTCTTGATCTTCTTTCCCACATCAGTCCCGCTCTCCGGACAAATAACACTCCTCTCCCTGGTATTACCAGCAGAATACACAATAATCCGATTCAACGTACTGCAATCCTCGACATTGTCGTCATTAATAGCGAATCCAGTTGTTCTCAGATAGATAAAATGAATCCGGGGATCTTCAGGTTCAATGAGCCAAGGTTCGTTGACACACTGTGTCGACGTGACATCCTCGGAATTATCGCTGTTGGCACGCTGAAGGACCTCCTCAATAGCAGCCACATCAATCACACTATCGTCGTGCTCGAGTCTATTTGACATTGGACTTCTCAATGATATCTCACCACTCGTACCCCCAAGTCTTCTCTCCTCGAAGCTCGACGGACAGCTCTGCTCGCTCGCCTCACTGCTATCAACAAACTGATACTCCCCCTCGAAGAAAAAATCATCGTAATCCTGGGTGACATTCATCCTCGTAACGGTAAACTTGAGCTCAACAATGCTCGATGTCAATGAAGTCAGGGCTATTCCACTCTCAGTGACATTTGAGCACAAGCAATCGCGATAAAGTTTAACACCATTCCACGGATACTCGGAGACAACAAGCTCAGCGTATCCTTTCTTATTCTCATCAGCAATTCGCCTGTCGCATGCCCATCGATTGACAAGTGGATCGACGTAAGACATGCAAACTTTATCGCCGAATGAAGCTCTCGACACTGTTATCTCAATTCGCTGGTTAGCCTCGGCCTCGAATCTGTACACACAGCTGAGATTCTGTGATCCTCCACGTCCGTAGAAAAATACACTCTTTGGCGATGTAAATTTACCAGAGATCGAGGACTTTTTAGACTGAGTGGATTGTCCTGGTGACTGAGGTGTCGGCGTTGAGGATGCGGAGAATACTAGGTGGCAGGACATTGAGTCATGAACGAATTCGTAACGAAGGACAAAGGAGATTGGATATAGGGCACTGCCCTGACGAAGTATGTGCTCAAGGGTTAAATCACGGGATGTGGATACGTAGCTCTCGGAGAGACTGCAGGGTCTCGTGTGTCTACTGCTGTTCCTCAGAAGACTGTGGTCGCACAATAGGGGAATGTCGTCCTTACAAAATTGGCCCATTAATCTTGCCTTTCGCGAGTGCTTCTTACTCGTTTCCAATGCTCTTGAGGGATTTCCATCCCAAATTAATAATTTAGCATTGCACTCGTTTCCTGAGTCAATACTTGCTGCTGGATCTGTACTGGATGCGTAATATTTGATGAAGGATATCCACACTATTTCGTTGGGTTTACCTTGAAAGTGGTAACGACACGTTGTATTTGGGGGCAATGAGTGCTTTGGATTTTCAAGAATTCCCGATTGACTCTCGTAACTCGTTATGTGAAAGTCACAGTTGGCATTTTCTTTGACGAATGTTCGGGATTTCTCGTCGACGAATAACACTTGTACTTCAAGCTCAAAACCAGGGAGAAATGACAGGGGTACTGGGTGAAATGGATTGTCATAGGGGGATGTGTGGAATTCAAGGAGCATTGTGTTACGGCTGCTTACTATGTCGGGTACAGCATCGCCACCGCATAATCTTACTAGGACTCGGTCCGTTGTTGAGCCACCATCGTAAACTGTGAGATAATCTTGAACAACGTTACACTGATCCCACACCCTAATGAGAAAGGGAAATTTCATTTTAGTTTAGCATTTTCCGGGAGGTGGGTGTCTGGGTTTGTTGAGGGGAAATTTCTGGGGTTTAATAATTGGGGTTTTATCTCGCTGGGTGATTATTATTAATGAGTTGCTGGTGGGTTATTTAGGGGGTATTGCGATTCGGGTGCATTTGGGGGAAGGATAATTAAAAAACTGAATGGTGATTATTTTAGGGAGTGATTGGAGGGAAATAAATATTTACACTGGGCAGTGGCTGTTTAAACTGAATTGATTGGAAATTTGAAGTGAATATCTTGTTTACTGAATTTTTATTGAGGGTTTGGACGAATGAGAGGAGATTTTCGAATATGCTGCTGATAGCGAAGTATGAAATATGTTTTGAATGAAGTATGATGTGTTCGAATTAGCTCTGTAATTCACCCGTGACCTTGGCATTGTGTATATATGTATATATTTTAGTATTTAACATAATGATATTATATTTCAATTGTATCCTAATTTAACACTGTTATTGGCTTCGGCTGTTGGGTCTATAATAAATAAATAAATAAATAAATATGCGTGTTTAAATGTGTTTATGTGTTTGTACATAGAGAGTAATTAAGTCCTTCAAGGAAAGGCATAACTCGGTGAAATTATTTGAAAGGTATGTCTTAGAATTCTGATTCAAATCGATTCATTCAATGTTGTAATTGAGAAAGGATTGACTGAAATTTGAAAAGGCATTACTCCGGTTAAGGGTATCCAAGTATTTTGACAAAGGAATATTGACAAAGTCTAATTTTGACAGTCTAATTTTTTTTTATTTTTCCGGTTAGCCAGTCAATGGTAGTTAACCCCTAAAGTCCTCATCGGCCGGCGGCCTCCCGTCTATTCGAATTCGCTGTTCAATACGCAGTAGTTTCGACACTGATGATCAAAAAATGATTATCTAAAATTTAATGATAATCTTGAGCTTTCACCAATAAGTTGTTCAACTACAGTATTCCTCTACACAGATTTTTCTTGAATTTGTTAAGACTAATCTCAGTTCAATAGTACAAACGGCTGCCAAGCTCGGCGATTGTCGGAAATTTGTTAATAACAAATCGGTAATTAATTGAACCGAAATTTCACTTGCGCCACACGGAGAGAAATGGTCAGTAAAAATTACGGAACTCACAATACGCTCACCGATTACGGAATCGACTCAGAAAATTTAAATTATGGTATCGTCATTTTTCACAGGAGATTCAAATAAAAATTACGGAACACTGGAAAAATTCCGTGACAGTTCCTTAAAATTTTCTATAACCACATTTCGCTCCGGAATTACGGAAAAAATACATAATTTTTATTGAATATTTCCCTCCGTGCATTCGATAAAATATCAGAATTTTTTATGAAGATTAGCTCGAGTAACGACGGGTTTGAATATGCATCTGACATCGAATTCAGTTCCGTACTGTTCATGTATTGAAGAAAAATATTAAAAATAACTTGAGAAAACAAAATCCCGTCGCATTGTATCGATAATTTTATCTATTTCATGGGGAAATTGTTAGAATTTCGTTATCTACAATAGTACGGAGGTTAATGAATTTGTATTAATCACGGAAAGGGTCTGTATGGCATGTAAACACCGGGCGGTAGGACAAGCTCTCGGGCAGCGATCGGTCGGCAATCATTACATTTGTAATATTTTGTAATATTAGAATTTGAATATTCAATTGATGATTTATTTGGCAATCGAAACTTGTTGAGTGATATTATCGGTTGACAGAAGCTAAATTTAACTTACTGTTGCGTATTTGTTCTTTTCCTCCCTCTCAGCCAAATTCATATATGATCATCTCTTTCCTTTTATTTATTCTTTCATCTTATTTTCTAGTCCGCGGACGCCTCAATCCTTTTTGGATTTCTTTTTATTATTCATTTCACACCAAAATTCTTTTAATAAACATTTTTTCTTATCAAATATCTCGTATTTTGCATTATTTTGAAATTGATGATTGTTCTGATCTCTGCACTCGGGTTTATATGTGGCATGGGCGCCGTACTTGAGGGGTTAAAGAAAAACGACGTGCGGCGGGGTTTGCCCTCACAGGGTGATCGATCAAGGGTTAATGGATTTGTATGAAAATGAAACTTCGGTGGATTCATGTGGATGATAACTCGCAAGTGAATGATATGTATGCAAACCTGAGGATTCTCTGGCTCCTGTCATACTTGACAACCTGATCTTTGATGTGTATCTTATGGCTATTCCGTTGACTAACGGCCAGCAATGCACGATGACCAGGTGGTGCACGATTATGCTCAACTCGATAGTAGCAAGTAACATTACGTGGATAAACACCAGGATAATTCGGTGATTGAAGACGACACGCTCGCGTGTCACATCTGGTGAGTACTCGGTCGCAGTATGTACCGTTTACCAATTCACCACGCCACGTTGCCATTGTACTGTTTCCGTATCGTAAATGTGCTTCGCTACGTTTGAGAAATTTGTATGACAGTTTGAAGTCAAAATTGTATCCGATGCCCTGTGACAGATTGAGGAAAGGACTTTATTGATTCAGTGGAAATGTCGAGTCAATCGGACGGAGTATTACGAGTGACTGAGTTTCGACGGTTTGTTAATTGAATTTAATAGGATTAATGGGATTTGATGGAATCCGGGAAATTACCTGTTCAGATAATCTGGCGAGAAATAAGGTGAGATTAATGGAAGGTGTTTCACTGTAGTATACTGTGTATCCCCAAGCACTTCCACACCACTGGCCACCAGTTGCCGGTCTTCCCTTCTCGCGAATTGTCATGAAACCATCTGGACATCCTTCATTCGTGAAGGAGAGAAATCTTCCGACGGTGAATGTGTCAAATGTTAACTGTAATCCCAGGTAAATTGCATAAACAATGAGAGAAAAACGTGAAATTTTTTAATGGGGTATTTTTAGGTGAATGGCATTTCATGAGTTCATGAAAAAAAAAATCATGAAATTGCAGATCGACATTACCTCAAATGGCCGTGGAACTAAAGTGTCATGGAAATTTCTAAGAAGTGTACCGGCAATTTTAGCCAAAATTTTTTAACAATGATTGGATTATTCGTTACTGGTGAAGAATTTTTGGAAAGGTTTATCGAGGGACAGTTCTCATGAAATTTCAAGAAATTTTGTCAGTAAAAATTCGTGACGTGATGGAAAAATATCACGGAAACTGTGAATTTCAGTGTTTCAATTGAAAATTCAAGTGAGTTGAGTAATTTTTGTTTTCTCTCCTCAATAATTTGGAATTCAAATGAATTTTCGGTTGAAATACCGCGATTTCTCTGAAGTTTTGTTGTAACCAAAAAAAAGTGTCACGTTTTTCAGGCTAAAAATTGCGTGTGTGCAACGCGGGGGATTTTTCCTCTATTCAGATTTTGGCCGAAAAGAATGCAGTGTTCAATATTACGTTCCCTTTTCACCAAAATGTGGGTAATATCTATCAGAACAAAAAGCGAAAACAATTAACAAGCTACTGTAGAATTATCACTTTAATAATTCACCCGTAACCAGGTAAATTATCAAAATAAAACTGATGTGACTGTTTCACGTGACCGCAAATATGGCGCTCTGATTGCTCGAAGCCAGAATTGAGGAGATTATCAGCTATAAGACCTTCAAAATTATCGGATATTTCCCGAATGTTTTGTTGCATAGCAACGAGAGGGATCAGTTTTGCAGACCAAAATGCCGAGCGCGCAGCGCGAGCGCATCTCTGTTCTTGTCCTGAACAGAGAGATGTAAATTCGTCGATTTTATTGCCAGTAATTTGATAATATCACGATCATATTATATACAACAATATTATCCACTGCTTCAATAATGGGTAATATTCTTCAAATCACCTTCCATTACTTTCATAATAAATAATATCTTTCAATGTAATTTTCAATACTTCAATAGTCAATGATACGTCAGCCTAATTTTTAATTACTTTACGGTTTTCTAATAATTTGAACAATAGTATTAAAAACAATATTTTCTGCTGATTTCTGTTCCTGAGAATTACTACTAAATTGTTCATGAAATTTCGTTCCTATCCTGACAGAAACCCGATGATAAGTTGAAGTGAAATTTATTTTCAGAATAAAAGTGGGTGAAATTCGATAGATCCTTCATATAAAAACTACAAAATGAGCCCACCCGCAAGCTAAAAAATTCAAAAATTAAATTTGAATATTTAGGGTCTCCAGAGTCGGGCGAAATGGGACGTTTCGTTATCTTCTCTAATTGTCAATATCTTCATATATAAATAAGATATTGACAAACGGAAAAGATCTCAATACGTCCCAGTTTGCCCGAGCTTTCCCTATAACATTGCCATTCAGTAGCAAATATCTCCGATGCTCATAAAGAATGCCCTGTGAAGTTTCCCCCTGAAAACTCTCACTACCGAACTAATTCCATAATTAGAGGGATGAAATAATTACTAAGACTTAAAATATATATTATTCCCATATTTCCATGTAATATAATACAAGTATCATATATTATCATATTTATCATATTTAAATATATTAATATATATTTTATATATTTTCTGCCGATTTCTGCTCCTGAGTATTACTACTCAACTCTTCATGAAATTTCGTTCCTATTCTGACAGAAACCCGATGATAAGTTGAAGTGAAGTCTATTTTCAGAATAAAAGTGGGTGAAATTCGATAGATTCTTCATATAAAAACTACAAAATGAGCCCCCTCGCAAGTTAAAAAATTCAAAAATTGAATTTGAATATTTAGGGGAGAGTCGGGCGAAATGGGACGTTTCGTTATCTTTTTTAATTGTCAATATCTTCATATATAAATGAAGATATTGGCAAATGGAAAAGATCTCAATACGTTCCATTTTGCCCGAGCCTCTCTTACAATATTGCCATTCAGTAGCAAATATCTCCGATGCTCATAAAGAATGACTAAAGACATTGTCCCTGTGAAGTTTTCCCCTAAAAGCCCTCATTACCGAGATAATTCCACAATTAGATAGTCGTAATATATCTTCATTAATAAAGCGTCAATCAGAACTTCAGAATGATCCCCCAAATTGAGCCCTGACACCCCCGATGAAACGAGCCATTAAAAATTCATTACCTGAACTAAATCCCCAAGATCATCTCCAGCAGCCGTGAAATTCAGGTAGCAAAGGAATGGCAGTCTGTCCTCCCGGGGACGTCTGACTTCAACCTCATACGTCCTCCCAACGTCACCATACAATGTCCTATTGCAGGCTGCAAGAGAAAGGGGAAAAACCCGTGAAAAAAAAATGTCATCGTCCCACCACTGAGAAAGAGAGAAATATTAAAAGTTTAATCACGTGTGCAGTATCTCGGCTCGTCAGATTTGTCTGCGCAGTCGTCCTCGCCGTCGCAGAATTTGTCTTGTGCGACACAGCGTCCGTCGTCGCAACGATACTCGGATGGACGACATCCGATTGTTGTTGATACCACTGTTGTTGATGTACCGGTAACTGTTGTTGCACCAGAGAATACTGTGAAGCCTGGGTAGATTGAGTACCCAGAGGTGTCTTGAAAGCTAGCAGTGGCTGGGGTACTTATGACTGATGATAATGCCGCTAGTGCGGCTGCGATCAGCAACCGCCGGTACACCAACATGCCCCCTCACCCTGATATTCAACACATCAAATTTTTAAGAATTTAGAGAAAATGTGGATTATCACGTGGATTAAACGCAGATCCCGTACATGTGAAAAAATGTAAGAAAGCATAAGGCTATCCCTAAGAAATTGTACACAAAGAAAAAAATCAAGCCAAAATTGACGAGAAAATGGAGTAATAATTACTTAATGATGAAAGATAAAATTCGCTTCTAGACTCTATCACCAATTTTTGGGGATACTGGACGTTAAGGAGAATATTTCTAATTAGTTGCTATTTTTGTCACTGAAATTTGGTGATGCATTCCTAAAAATGAGAGATGGCTCTCTGAAAATCGGCGATTTGGGGAACGTGAGACGACACGTGGATTATTCTTCACATCTGAACAAATGTCATAAGAAAGCATAACGCTATCCCGAAGAAATTATCCACGAAGAAAAAAATCAACGCAAAATTGAAAAGAAAGTAAAGTAGAAATTGCATAATGGTGAAGGGTGAAAATTCATGCCTGAAAATCGAAACTGTGTTTCTCTGCACTATTAAAAATTTTCCTCTGAATTTTCCGTATCAACTCCAGGAAATTTTTATCATGTTTCATTTCCACTATAATTTCAGATCATCTTGTCATTGAAAAATAAAATATTTCATTGATTTTCTGTTCGAATGATCTGAAAATCAATAAAATGTTTGACTTTTCAGTTCAATTATTCCCTGAAAATTCTGAAAAAAACGAGGAAAAATTGAAAATTCATGTTATTTTGTTCTTGAATATTCATGTTCCATTAAAAATTCAATCAAATCATGAAATTTTCATTTCGCTCCCACTGAAAACTCATGAATTTCCTCGAAATCTACTTCAAACCTGAAATTGTATAACCATTTTCCCCCTAAATCGAATTCAATGTCACTCTCATGAGAACTACTACAATATTTTCCATGAAATTTCGAAAAATTCCAAACAGTGTGATATGTCACCAAGTAAAGTCAACAGATGTTGACTTTTCTCCATTATTTCCACTAAGATCCTTGAGAATGAAGTTCTACGTCAATTTCGAATGAAATCATAAAGAGAAATTCTCGACCAATTTCAGAATTATTCATTTCTCAGTGAGAACAAGCGGTGAAACACGATCCGAAAATGTATACAAATTAATTACATCGGATGATGGCAATATCGACGTATGTCCCATGGTCACAAACTTTGAATATTTAAACCGGCAAATTAATGCGAGAATTATCGTGTAGAAGCTGGTTACACACTGGTGTGGACGATCGATCGTTGACCTAAATATTTTCGTCGACACCGGGACGTAACAGAGTAGAGAGAGCTATGGAAACAACCTCTGTGTTTATCATTCAAATGCATTTTAATCATTTAAATGTCATTCACGTGGCGGCCAGCACTCGGTTGTGCAATTATAAATGGACATTTCGCCCGAGTGTATGGGGAGCGCTCACTTGGTCAATATTATGGGGTGCCGGGGCATCTTTAATGTAATGCGACGCTTGGGTTATCGGGAGGGATGAAAATTTCAACGATCAATCGATTCGATAGCTGCACATTGTGCATTTTTGCTTTTGTTTTTTTCCATGGAATGGGAGTTTCTGCGGGCTTTTTGCACGTGGGCGCAATCCACCTCTGGGATACTGCATGGATTGCGAGGAATAGAAAACTGTACGGAGAACAAAGGCCAGAACTGTAAAGTTTACCATTTATTCCAGCAAAAAATATCCCCTGAAGGTGAATAATTCCTCGATATTGCGTAATTATTCATATGCTAGGCTCGCTTCGCTCGCTCCCCCCCCCCATTCTTTTTGGTTATGTTTAGAATATTTGGGTGTTCGTATTTTATATAAAATAGAAATTGATACACTGTTAAAAAGTTGCTCCTGAAATTTCAAATAAAAAATCTTGAAATTTTTAACAATCACTCATTTACACGGAATTTTCATGGATTTAGTTATATACTAGACTCGCTTCACTCGCCAATCGTGAGGGGCGCTTTGCCCCTCGCTCGCTTCACTCGTTCCCCCGGTGTTCGTATTATATAAAATAGAAATTGATATACTGCTAGAAAATTATTCCTGAAATTCCATGTAAAAAATCTTGAAATTTTTAACAATCACTCATTTACACGGAATTTTCATGGATTTAGTTATTGAAAAATCAGCTGAATTCTGGAGTATTGAATGAAATTGCACATTGTGCATTTCGGCTTTTTTTTCCTATGGCATGGGAGTTACTGCGGGCTTTTTACAAGTGGGCGCAATCCACCTCTGGGATACTGCATGGATTGCGAGGAATAAAAAACTGCACGGAGAACAAAGGCAAGAACTGTAAAGTTCACCGTTTATTACAGCAAAAAAAATTTTCTGAATATTCCCTGAATAATTTCTCGATATTGCGTAATTATTCACATATTAGGGGGCTTCGCACGTATGAAATAATCGCATAGAAATTTTCTATATGGATTGCGTGGGGAATTTCTGCAGGATTTTCGTACGGATATTCATCCACATGATAATGAAAATAATTAAATAATTTGACAATTCAAGCGACAATTTAAAAATGCGTATGTACTTGAGACAAGTAATATTTTTCAATCGCTTAATTCTCCCAGGCATCTCAACTCATGTGGCTCGGGAAAGATTGCATGCTTTAAAATATTCTTCTACGCAAGTATGATTTTGGCGCAAATGAACTCACTCAAATCGCGTAGCAGAATCGTCAATCTCCAAGTTTTATTGTTTTCATTATTTTTTTTATGCACTTACAATGTTTCATTATGTAATATATTCATGATGTGACGCGGAACGATAGTGATAAATGAAAATTTATTCGAGTTCCGCGAAGCGCAAACGCTCTGAGATTTAAGCCATTGGGAATATTAGGACATTTTTCTCTCAGTGTGCGGTACGGTAAAATTTCACTTGCATCTGCTCCCATGTCCTAAAAAAATAGTCCACGAAATTTTACTGTATTTTTTATTGAATTATATTAAATTATATTGAATTTCGCTCCACGATTACCTTGAGTATAGTAAAACCTGCCGCGATGTTCTAGATAATTTTTATCCAACTTTTCTCTTCGTGTGGCTTGTGAGACTGCGGCCGGGGGGAAGGGGGTAAAATACTTTCTATTGAACAATTAATGGGCTCTCGACCCTAATCCGCTTTGTTGTTGATTAATGAGAGGGTTGGAAATTACTGGTTCATCCTCTATGATTCGTATTGCGGGAATTGTCTATATTAATTAGTTGAAATATATTTTTCTCAGAAATTCTCACAATTTTTCTATTCATTTACAAAAACTCTAACACTTGAGCCATTAACGATCGTTAATATAAGTGCGATATCAAAGTGACAGAATAAAATGTATTTCTCGTGTGGATTCAATATTTTTGGAAGCGATCGATACAAAGGTATTGAATTATTTTGTGTATTTTAAAAGTGTCAGTGGGGGAATGGAGAAACGGATCATTTCGATATGTTACGTCTGTGCATTGTGTGATCAGGGGACTATCTTGGTAATGCGTGATTTTATGAGAAAATATCAAGAGATTTTCTACAGGCAATCTCCTTTGTTAGGGAATAATCTAACGCCATAAGTTCAAGATCATGGGATATTCGAGGAATAAACCTGAAAATTTAATCAGAACGGCCATTCATTTATCATATCCCATGATGTCCAACTGAATTAGTCGTTCTCAACTATTCAGTGCAACAAAGTAAAACAGATGAAGCCCTGCGGGGGCTTCATCTGTTAGACTGTTGGAAAATTACTCTTGAATTTCCACGTAATTATTGCTTGTCTTAGAATTTCGATGAACAAAAACGGTTTTACATTGCGAAAAATATATAATTATGCCAATCAAATTCGTTTCAGACAGAAATGTCCGTCATTTCCGAACGAAATTTCACTACTTCTTGTCTGAAACAAATTTTGTTGGCAGAATTATATTTTTTTCTCAATGTACAGGGATAAATTTTAATAACTTTTTTCGTGCTCCGTTTTCTGCAGTAACGAACGATTTTCCGGGGAGGATACTTGTGGTTGAAATTCTGAGAGAAAGAATAATCCGAATACTTCGCGAGCCTGACTATTATTTGGACATTTCCCTGAAGATGCCCTGCACGCGCGCGAACCTAGCGGTGAATACTCAATAACTTTGAAACTCTCGTGTTATTATGAATGAAACGTCTTGAGATTTTTAACAATGACTAATTTACATGAAATTTTCAAATATGTTGTTATTGAAAAATGAGTTAATTTCTTTAATATTTGACGAATTAATAATTCTCGATCCACACGGAGAAAAAAATTCCAGAAAAATTACTGTGCCAACACGGTAAAATGGGTTCGTTTGGACGGACCCGAAAAATTACGCTGCCAGCACCGGAATATTTGCTGTGGAGTACAAGAATTTTTCACGGTAAATTCGAGAAAAACCGAATTTACCGTGAAAAATTCTTGTAGCGCACGGAAGAAATTCCGGTGCTGGCACGGGAATTTTTCCGGGTCCGTCCAAATGAACCTATTTTACCGTTTCTACCACAGTAATTTATCTGGAATTTTTTTTCTCCGTGCATCCAACAATTAAAATCGTGAAAAATTCAACTAGCCATTGTTCTGAACTCAATCTATTGAAAATTGTATTTGAAAATTCATGTTATCATTGAAATGTCAATACCAGCAATGATAATTCTCATGCACGGAGAGAAATTTTCTAGTAAAATTCTAGTACGAGTACTGAAAAAAATCACAATCCACTGGCTGCGAAAAATTCTAGCGCTGTTAAGGTAAAATTTCTGGGGATTTACTGTGAAATTTTCACACAAATACGAGGAAAAATTCACGTTTTCCGCAATAAAATTTCTAGTGCCGGCACTGGAATTTTTTCCTGGCCGTCACTTTGTGCCTCTTTTTCCGTGCTAATACTAGAATTTTTCTAAAAAATTTCTCTCCATGTGAAACTCATCGAACAATATGATCTTAAATTGAATTCTC